AAGTCAACGACCAATCCAAGAGCCTCTTGTGAAGGAAGGCTCAAAAGCATTGGTGCTTTCGATCCCTCGATTTCCATGCTGGTGACTTCTCCTGGAACTCCTTCTCCATTGTTGTTCTCCAGCATGACATAGAGAAGTCTTTCTCCCAGCGTCCTCGATCGTCCTCCGATGCCGTTGAGCTCGGTTGTCTGTCGATGTAGCCATTGTGGATAATGTTTTGTCACATTGCTGAACCTCTTCATCCACAGCTCCCCATGACAGGTCTGGTTGCAACCTGAGTCAAGGAACATGTAGGTCGCTTCCTCGTCCTCTGTGTTGACCCACATTGCCACATCGTCATTCTCATCAATCTCCTCGACATCGACGACCATATAGGCTGTTGGTGTTCTCGGTGGATTCGACTCCTCTTCTGCTCTCTTCACATTGATGTACTCCTGCCATCTTCTCATGCCCTTGCAGTAGCCTTCGCCCTTCTGCATCTCGTCCAACGTCCAGTTCACATAAGAAGGTTCGTTGTCGTAGACCGATCTGAAGCTTCGTCCCTTGTACTTGCCGAAGTCAAACAGTCGATCACCTTCGTCTCTGTTCTCACTTCTGGCCGTTGAGATGGATGCTCCTCCAGGTGTTCCCACGTGACCTTGTCCTGAAGGTAGAAGTGGTACAGCTCGATGAAGTTGTGCTGCACAGCAAAGCGAAACAGCGTTGACAATCTGCATGAACTCCTGCTTGGTGATGGAGTTGTGGGCATTGATGTGGAGTCGAACCATACGATGCAAAAGATCTCGGCATGTCGTCCACTCATCCTCAGATGTGAACAACACTGCATCCTGCACTGTCGACATAGAGGTCCTCAGTGGCGTCGTTGGTGGAGACGACATAGGTGTAGTTGCCTTCGGTAGTGTCCTGGTGGTAGATCTCATGGTGGATGATGGAACTCCTGCTGCAGGAATCGGCCTCTCATCTCCTGGATTCCTCTTGACCTTGTCGCTGCATCCACAGTCCGGGCATGTCCAAACCCATTGGTACCCGTTGGATCCTTTCCAAGACACATCATGGTGTTGACACACCTGCGGATCAATCTGCCTCATGCTGATGTCCTTGGTCACTGGTGACTTCTTCTCCTTGTGCATCACCAGTCCGCAGTCCTTGCAGGTCAGCATGTCTATGTAGGCATTCGATCCTCTTCTTGTCGTGTTCTCATGTGGGCAACCGCTGTCTCCTCTAGGTGTCTCTGGAATTGGCACTTCGCCAGCTGAGAATCCCATAGTCTCCTCAGTCGATCCTCTCGCCTGATGCACGTAGAAGCCAGGCGACTTGGGGTGATGCATCTGCATCATCAGATCAGGAACCAGACTTCCTGAAGGTGGTCGTGCTGCTGCCTTGCTCTGTGGTGGCATGTAGTGTAGCTCCTGCTGGAACTCCTGCTCCAACCGCTCTGATGGCAAGGTCATCAGCCTTCGCACCTCGTCCTCAAGTCTTCTCTGATCTACATCATCCAATCCTGGGCTCCCTGGACCGGAAGGCTCATAGCGATGAACCATCCCTGCGAAGGGTTCTTCCTGGTGGCTGTCTCTCACTGAGAAGTAGACAACCCTGGGCTTGCTTGGTGATCCCGATGTCGATCTCGTTGAACTCGGCGATGACTTACCGTCGTTCTTCCCCTTGCTCTGAACCTTGCCCTTGTCCTTGTTCTTGCCTTTGCCTTTGAATCCTCCTTTTCTCTTCGGGCAGATCCAGTCTCGTTGCCAGTGTCCCTGCTGTCCACAAGCTCTGCACCTCGTCCTCTGCTTCGCAGCCAAAACCTTGGCCTGCCTCTCCTGTGGTGTCTGGTTGTTGTTGGACTGGTACAAGCTGTTGCTCGCAGGAACTGAGTAGCCTCGATGAGCTGCCTGTTGCCTCGAGTAGAACGCAGCTGTCTCGTGCTCCACAGTGTCGTAGATCAGCTCCAAGTCCTCAGCTGAGCACGTCTGTGCATGGATACCTTGGTCTGCGTACCATGCCACGATGTCCTCTTCCAGCTGTGTCCCCTCAGGTCCTTCTGGCATCTCCTCATAGCTCTCGTCGTAGATCTCCTCATCATACTCGGCATTCTCAGGGGTCTCGTCGGTCACAACAGGGTTCTCATCCTCAGCCATGTAGGACTCCACCATGTAGGAACTTCGTTGTCCCCAGCCCCATCGGCCTTTGTGATCTCCTTTGCCTTTCCTCTTCTCCCTGTCATGTACCGCTCCGAATTGGTCTCTCAGCGTTGCCGCCAACTTCTTGAGGTCGCTGAGATCATTGCTCATCACCGATCTCACCAGTTGCTGCTCCATGGACGTGAGTCCACTCTGTGTCAGCATCTGCTCTCCTAAGATCGCTTGGCTGCACTTGACCTCCTTGTCAAGCTCGGTCAACTGGTTCCACCAAGCTTCCCTTCTCAGCACATATGATGCCATCGGCTCGGCGTTCTGTCGGCTCAGCAAGCCAGGCATAGATCCGGCTTGGTAGAGCTCCACTGCGGCTTGTCGGCGTAGTGGTAGTAGGTCTGTCTCCAGGGCATTCATCAGCTTGGTGACTCCATCAGGCTTTGCCAACTCCTCGATCCCCAAGGTCTTTGCGATCTGCAAAGCCGGCCCTTGGAGCCTCTCAGTCAGCCTCAAAGCCAGTCCTCCAAGCTTCTTCCTCTCACCTTCACTCATCTGTGACTCCTTCATCTCGATGGCCTGCACCTGGAACTTATAGTTGGCCCACTCCTCAACTTGTCCTCCATAGCCCGGCAGACTCCTCGCCTCAGGCACCACCGTCGTAGGTCTGAAGTTTCCATACTTCAGGTTGTCCAGCGCCATGGGCGTAGGGGCCCGAAAGTCTTCCACCTTGGTCGCTGGCGGTTTCACGAAGTTTTGCAGGGATGCCAAAGCTCCCGCTACCAGTTTGAAGATGTGGGACGCGCAAACGACCCACAACGCAACGTGGCACATGTTTTCCATTCAGCTCAAGGCGCCTGTAAGTTGGCATTGGGCCCATATGTTACGGGGATATACATAGAGGTTCATGGATCTGGTGTGGACTCATGATCATCTTCACATATGGCTTGCTGAGAAATGTCCGAACTGAATTTGAAATGTAGGTTTTAGTGGGAACATCCTGGAACTCAATGGGGGGCTGTCCAGCAAGCCAAGTTTGATGACCAAAGGCATCCAACGGCATTGTTTGTTGGAATGACCGGTGTTTGTTCGCATAAATCCCAATGTTTGGTCGTCGAACAAACCCAAATCACTGACCACTTTCGGGCACTGTTCCCGTTTGTGTGGCGCATTGGTACCTCCCTGACTTGACCGTTGAATTCTATAATATATATATATATATGTGTGTGTGTGCGTTTGTGTGTTTAAAGAGCCAGAGGAACAACATATATGTACATGTATACATGTATGTATGTATGCATGCATGTATGTATGTGTGTATGTAATGTAATGTTGTTTTATGTTACGTTAGGTTATGTAATGGTATGGTATGTATGTATGTATATACATATATATGTATGTATGTATGTATGTGTATGTATGTATGTATGTACGTACGTACGTAATGTATGTATGTATGTATGTATGTTTGTATGTATGTATGTATGTATGTATGTATATGTATGTATATGTATATGTATGTATATGTAAATGTATGTATATGTATGTATATGTATGTATATGTATGTATATGTATGCATATGTATGTATATGTATGTATATGTATGTATATGTATGTATATGTATGTATATGTATGTATATGTATGTATATGTATGTATATGTATGTATATGTATGTATATGTATGTATATGTATGTAGATGTATGTAGATGTATGTAGATGTATGTAGATGTATGTATATGTATGTATATGTATGTATATGTATGTATATGTATGTATATGTATATGTATGTATATGTATGTATATGTATGTATATGTATGTATATGTATGTATATGTATGTATATGTATGTATATGTATGTATATATGTATGTATGTATGTATGTATGTATATGTATATGTATGTATATGTATGTATGTATATGTATGTATATGTATGTATGTCAATGTATGTATATGTAAGTATGTATATGTATGTTTATGTATTTATATGTATGTATATGTTTGTATATGTATGTAAAAGTATGTATGTATGTATGTACGTACGTACGTAATGTATGTATGTATGTATGTATATATATATGTATGTATGTGTATGTATATGTATGTATGTATGTACTATATGTATGTACGTACGTACGTACGTAATGTATGTATGTATGTATGTATGTATGTATGTATGTATGTATGTATGTATGTATGTATGTATTGATGTTATGTTAAGTATGTTAAGTATGTTAAGTATGTTAAGTATGTTCAGTATGTTAGGTATGTATGTTATGTATGTATGTATGTATGTATGTTATGTATGTTAAGTATGTTTTGCATGCTATGTATGTTATGTATGTTATGTAGTTTATGTATGTTTTGTATGTATTTTGTTATGCTATGCTATGCTATGTTATGCTATGTTATGCTATGTTATGTTATGTTATGTATGTATTATGTTATGTTATGTAATGTAATGTAATGTATGTATGTATGTATGTGTCCTTATCCTCATGTGTTTGCTGGTTAAACTGGTTAAACCAGCTGAAACCCCGGTCTTCTAGGTGGAAGAAAACCACACATTCTTCTTGATCAACATTCTCATTTTGCTGGCTATAAAGCAGCAATTTATATGAACAAAGCCAAGCCCCAGTGTAATCCCAATTATATATTGGCAATTGCATCCCAACAACAACAGCAACAAAAACAACAAGTTCATCGAGAAGAACGAGAAAATTAGCAATGGTCATAATCATAATCATTCTTATCTCATGGCTTTGTTTGTCCTTTTTGACAATTTTTAGCTGGTTAACATGGGTTGAACATGGTTAAACATGGTTGAACCATGTACCAAAGCCCCCTTCGACCGTTAGTGCCAAGCTTCGAGTGCGATAAAGCTAAGACTCTGTTGGTAACCATGCGGTGCCATGATGGGCGCAGATGGCAGGGTGGGCGGCTGCGATGGCTGCCAATGTTGCGGACTGAGAAGCGTGTCCTGGAAGGGCTGAATTCGGATGTAACCTACAGACATGATGATTATATTTACATGCATATGCATATGGGTTTGTCTGAAAAAAGGGCACCCCAAAAATAGATTGTTTGTCCTTTTTCCCTTTAAGAATGGACATGCAGGGGTACACCCCCTTGTCAGGCACGCATATGTATATATATATATATACATATGCGTGCAATATACGTATGTACAGTGCTGGCATGTACTGGTTTGTGCTGGTCTGTGCTGATCGTATCTCTGTATGTATGATGTATGTATGCATGTATGTTCGTCCGACTGTCTGTATCTGTGGAATTTCACCTGAAAATTCACATGCGTGCGTGCATATATATATATATTTATAATATACTATTATAATAGCTGTAGTCATGGGCATGCTATGGACATTGGTGGAAATACTAAATGCATCAACATGGCTGGTAATTATGTGTATAGGACATATTGCGTCTATATAGATGTCATCATGTTTGCAATTGTACAATAACACTTGCAAAATAAACGAACAGAATCAAATAAACATATCTGGTGGCACAAAACGCCGTGCACTGGTGAACGCCAGGCTCCAATAACGTTCAAAAACGACCTGACCCAATCTGTACTGCTAAGTGGGCTGGAACAGGAGATCATCCCATCAAATGTAGCCAGGTGCTCTGCCGCCGGGAATCCATCGTCATCAAGTCTAGATCCATGGGGTGGATGGGCCTGCAAGGAACCCTGGGGGAGCAGGCCCCATTCCAGCTTCTTGGATCTTGAAACGTCTTGAAATTCAATGAATGTCACACCATTTTGGGGGTGTATATGGGTGCATCCTCGTGAAATGGATTGAAACTTTGGATGATTAATCATATGTGCTTCGGTATGCTTTGGTCGGGTCGGGGCTTTTAGTTTGGAACTTGGTATTGTCATATGGTATTTAGCAAAAACATGCAAAATCCGTGGGGTTGCGAGCGCAATACCGCGGGCCTTCTGGCTTCATTCATCCATGCATAGCTTGCCCCCTGTGGCATATCCACCCTCAGCGATGCAGGTGTGCAAGCTCTAATTTATGCAACGGTTGTTCTCCGCTTTATCCTATTGCGCAGGTTGAGTCAAGCCAAGTTAAGCCACCCTTTTACTCTTAAGTCATTCACATTAAACTCTTGATTGGTCCAAGTTTTTATGGGTTGTCATTGATCCTATCTCCAGGTGTTGTTGCTTTCATCCCCATGTTCCTTTCAATTCCCTTCCAATTCCATGTTTTTTACTTAAATCCAACCCCTTCGAAGATATTGGAACGCAATAAATAAATAACTACATCGATTTCTAATTACAAATAGGTTGGCGAACAATGAGATTGCCATCCATTAATGATGCTAATGCAAAATACACAAAGGGATTAAGGGATGCAAAAGGGTACAAGGTAGTGCCCCCCAGTTCTAAGTTGGTCTATACAGTAAACCATAGTAGCTACAGAATGCGATAGATACTATCATAAACCCAAACGTGAAATGGGTATGGATCAATACCTATTAATACCATTTTTAGGGGGATGAACATCCATTTACCAGCAATTTTGATGTTCACCAGGGGTACAAGGTTTTGACACACTGCCAAATTGGAGTTTATAATCCAAATTAACTACGGGGCACCAGCTTCTAGCTTAGTATAGCCATGTATCACCTCCATCCCACCGGGATCGCCGAAGTACGATACCCTCTGCGGCGGGATCCGGCCCGGGGAGATCGGTGACGTGGGCGACATCGAGAGCGGGGACTTGGGCGATTTGGCACCTGGCTCAGATGGCCCACGATGAACACCCTTCGGTTAAAGATGCCATGGTACTCCCACTATAATATATATACATATATACATATATATATATATGTATATACATGTATATATATATATGTTATGTCATGTTATGTCTGATGTATCCTCCCAGAATATTCCCGTAGTTTTCGATTGTTCTATCAATAGACCATCGGGCCATCAAACGTGGTTTGCTGGAAAACCCACCATGTAATTCGATGATGTTCACATCTAAATGTCCATATTAGTTCGGGGATTTCCCAGCCAGCCACGTTTGACTACAGGGTATATGTCCATATATTGTCATATATGTCCCCATATTGGCAGAGTTCCGCGTGGATTTTCTTGATGTTTTTTGAGATCCATTTGACTCGGGGAAAAAAAAGGCAAAGGGGCTAGCAAACACCACAAAAGAAACTATTTTGCTTAGGGTCTGTGACGGTCTGTGTACAGATTGGTTTAGCTCTGACACATCGCATCACATCGCAAGTTCTGCTGCTTGAAGCTCCCATGCAGCATCATCCACTTCTGATTTCAGCCACTGATCACATCACTGAGATCATGAACCATCTATAGCTGGAATGATGGGCCGCTATGTTACTCCACTGATCCCTGGGGTGCCTGCAACAATCGACACTTGGATCACTTCATCACAATATCAAGCCGCCGGACCAATCCTTATTTCATTATAGATATCGGTGTTCAAATCCCCATTTCTCATGCTGAAACCATCTGAAACCTACGCTTTGGTAAAACCTCCGAAACTGTCATGGCAGCTGCAGAACCGGGCCTGCTGATGGTTCCACTTCAATCCTTGGATTCAAGGCTTGCTCAAGGCACGAAGGCATCAGCACACAATACGAACATGTAGGATTTGTTCGTGTGGATGCGCATATATGTATATATAAGGACGATTAGAAATGTGTGTGTGTGTGTGTTTTGTGTGTTCCCTTCATCATGGAAGAACTATGCACGAACACAGATTTGTTCTTTGCATTGTGTGCACCCACACGCACACATACATACGTATAATATATATATTATACAAATATACATATATACATATATTACATATATATATATATATAGTGTGTGTGTGCGTGTGCGTATGTTGTACATATGTAAAAACAGCAATAAAACAGCTTTATATTACATATATGATATTACATATAATATACGAGTATATGAGTGACGGACAAAACTACTTACCAGTACTTTAGTCTTTAGCTAATTTTGTCTACGATTTCTGCCAAGTCACGGGGCAGTCTTTGGCGTCTTGAGGAAGCAATAGAGTCCGGCTCCCGAAAACAGCACCAATGCACACCTCAGCGAAGTTAATAGGTCGGGTTTCATAGAGTTTGGCCACCTTTAGACCTTGTGGAGTTTCGTGGTTAATTTGAAGGATCAACTCCCCGAACCTGGTGGATTTTCCACGTCCAGGTTCCCATGGGGTTCCAGTATGCCTAGAAAATGTTGCTTCCATGTTCTCGTGCTGATGGTATTTGGCCTATGCCAATTGACATCATCCACAGTACACCCACATCCATTTATATCCATGTAAGAATTACTATGTCACTATTCACTGCTCACAATGCAGGAGGACAAACAACTTTCTTAGACTCACATTTTCAATAATATTGATTAATATTCTTCAATAATTTCTGAAATCTGACCTGATCAAACCCTTCCGCCATTTCCAGCTACGTAGCGATGCGTAGCCCAAGGTTTGCCACCAATTCATTCGCCCATGAGATGGATTTTTCTGGCTAACTTTGGATACATATCCATATATGTACACACATATATATATATAATATATATATAATAAATAGCCGTATAAAAATATCATATCCATATGTATCCCCATTGTCAATGCTGCTTAACCTTCATTTGTTGTGGTATTGATGATCAAAGATTCACCCTGGAGGTCCTGTCAGCTACCACCATGGTTCACTGCTTTGACCAAACGTGGCCAAACATCGGATCTTCATGTGGTAAACTCATGGTAAATGCTAAAAATAATAAGTGAACTAGTTATCATCAGTTATAGTAAACATCCTTATAGGGACTTTTAATAATGAGATATAATGAGATAAACTCAATCATAAACGGTTTATTTAAACCTTCAACTAGGGATGATCTCTCTCATCTCTGTTCCTCTCTCTGCATTGCCAGAGGGTTCAGCGCTATGAGGGCGAGCAGGTGGCCCAACCCCAGCAACTGAAGAGTCTGAAATACAAGTGTGCAGGAGAAACATGGAGAAACCATACACGTGAATTCTATAGACACCAAGTCACCAAGTGTTGAAAACAACATGCCGAATTTCATTGAACAAAACACTCCGAGCTATCACATCTCAGCCCAGCCATTCTTGCTCACGTCGCCGGGTTTCACGCCGCTGGTCAGTCTATCTCACCCATTTCAACTGGGTGTACAATGCTCAAATGACTCAAATGCATCCAGTTTTTTTTTATGTGTTTTATACATCTTTCTCCAAGGCGCATGATGCTCAGGGTCACCACGAAAATGGGTATCAGCGGCGAAGCATCTTCCGTATGGCAGGCCTCTTGCAGTTGCCATTGCCGGTTCGTCCAGCAAACGATGACCTGAGGTTGGTGGACCCTGTCCAAGTGAACCAGCTGTAGGTCCCTAGTATTCCCTAGTATTCCTTTGGTCTGTATTTCGACCCAGGGAATACATGCAGGTGTTTGGAAGATTTCTCTACACACCTGTAACTAATTAGATCTAATTAGCTTTTTTTTGTTTATGTTTATATACATTATGCTCCATCCTCAGAAAGATTTGGTCCTTCGTATTATCCTTAAGACCAGCCGCATTGCAATGAATCAAAACCCATGGCCAACCTTATGTCGACTGAAACCATCAATATAGATACCTGATACACTCGAAATGATATCGTACCGAATAGTCAATCAAAAAAACACACTAACAAAAAACATGCGCTCAGTATTCCAACAGTCCTGCATGTCCATGTATGGCCAAAAATTTCATCACCCTGAGGGTGTCTTCTGTTTTCTGACGAGATGTCATTACAAAAATTCAAACAACATAGAAAGAATAGCCATGCAGTTGGAATACCCAACTCTAGAACAAAACTTCAACATTCACTGGATGGATACATATGGATACTGTAAATATCTGTAAATCAGAGAAAATCGGAAACCATGCTGTTACAATCAACTCTTCCGGGCGTTCTGGTAGTTGTTTTTCCCTCAAACCAATCCAGTGGAACATCTCACCCATCCTCCAATCATATGGAAGTGTCCTAAAATGGAGGTACCACCAAATCATCCATTTATAGCATTTAAATTTATAGATTTGTCGGTCATTATCCACTAACATCTACAAATCATCGAAATTGAATTTTCATGGATTTTCCACTAAAAATCTATAAACATTTTTAAAAACATCCGTAAACATCTATTTTTTTTAAAAAAAACATATATTTTCTCCATCCAGCTATTGGGGCACCATGTCGGAAAACTCCAGTTCCGCCAGGCTGCGGCTTGTGGCCCGCCATCTGCGCAGGGAGCCACGCAGCGCTGACCGATGCCCAGCTCACCGAAGCAGCTGAAGTTGCCGGCGCCTCCCACGACTGGAGGTGTGAGGAGCTGGATGTGTATAGAAAATGTGTTTATTCATCTGCATGTGCATGATTGATCATGATTGTATATTACATATATATGTATGTATGTATGTGTGTATGTATGTATGTATGTATGCATGTATGCATGTATGTATGTATGTATGTATGTATGTATGTAATGTATGTAATGTATGTAATGTATGTAATGTATGTATGGTATGTATGTATGTATGTATGTATGTATGTATGTATGTATGTATGTATGTATGTATGTAATGTATGTAATGTATGTAATGTATGTAATGTATGTAATGTATATAATGTCTGTAATGTGTAATGTAATGTATGTAATGTATGTAATGTATGTAATGTATGTAATGTATGTAATGTATGTAATGTATGTAATGTATGTAATGTATGTAATGTATGTAATGTATGTAATGTATGTAATGTATGTAATGTATGTAATGTATGTAATGTATGTAATGCAATGCAATGTAACGTAATGTAACGTAAGTATGTATGTAAGTATGTATGTATGTATGTATGTATGTATGTATGTATGTATGTATGTATGTATGTATGTATATTATATAAGTTGTATAATAGGGAAACCTACGATTGAAGGGAGAGTTGAGTTGGATATGTAGCGCCAATGAAGTCGTGGTGGGGTGTTTCAGCAATGGGGGATAGCGTCAAGCAGGTGGATCCAACAAATTATGTTAAGCATCTTTAACTGGTTGGTGGTTTCAACCCCTCTGAAAAATATGAAAGTCAATGGGAAGGATGACATCCCATATATGAAATGGAAAATAAAAATCATGTTCCTAACCCCCAACCAGTTAAGCAATAAATAAATGTCAGCCCTGATTCACCATACCATGGTGGATATACCATCCCCCGAATAAACGTACATAGTCCCTGAGTTTGGAACGAACTGTCAAGCCACCAATTCATGGGAGAGTCATCATGTTAGCTGGATGGCAATGACTTGTTTACTGGGAAAAAATAACTGCAGAAATACATCTACAGTCTACAGTACATGGATTAAACATGATCAAACTATCAGAATCCACGGGTTTTACCATCAAACAAGATGGGACTTCAACTGAAGAAATTAATCAACAATCATGACTTTCAATATATTGGAGGGAAAATCTGCAAAAACAAAGGTATAAAACCTGTATCATGATGATAGTATCATGGGGCATATAACAACAATACTGTGAGTTTAGTTCATGCATAAGAATGTCCAAAGTAAATAGCATACCAATAATTATTTGGGTATTGTACAGTATTATCTAAGATCATAGCCAGCATGTCATAGCCAGCGACCCTTCCGGGGAAGGATTGATGATCAGTACCTGAATTATCCTCCCAATATCTGGTATATCATAGTGGGATACAATGTGTGGGATATAGTGGGTTTATTCCACACACACACATATATATATAAACATTTTTTGGCCATCCCATTTCCATGACAATGAAGCAGTGCTTTATCAAAATGCACAGGATTCACATTTCGCCGTCAAATCCCGCCTTGCACCCAAGGGATGTAGTCGGGAGTACAAAGAAAGGGAAGGGTAGTGACCTGTCTCCAGGGAGTAACAAACATCCAGGCTGATGTGGTAAACCGAATGCCCTAAACTCCTAAACCTCCAAAATACAGTAATTTTGGATAGTCTTAACACCACCCAGTCCTGGCGAAATTGATTGAGATTAAGAATGGTTGACGGTTTATTCATGTTTATTCCTATTGGCCTTACAACATGAATGATCATGAATGCAGTTGAGAGCATTATTTTTATCTTATATCAAAATGCTTCATAGATTCATACTACATCATCGCAACCTGGCATGTCCCAAGATGCTAGGCTGGTTCCAAGTGGGTTCTGGGTACTGTGCCAAAAAAATTGCGGTGAAGGAAACAAATGACAACGTGTGAAAACCACAGAAATTCAGATATATGATATACTTTGTTTAGATGTATTTAGTGCCTATCTTCTGCACTTGCAAACACGAGTTCTGCCCTGTTCTCTTATATATATACATCCCCGCGCATCCTGGACAAAGTCGTGGCCAACCTTCGTTCAGCAGTTTATATTCCTCTATATTCCTCCATGCATGACCCCAAAGCATTTACCAATCATTGATAACGGTTTCCGCACACACACACATATATATATATCATCTCAATCGCATAGTCGGCATAGTCGAACACACACTGACACAAAGCAGCTAGATGTTTTCAATTAGCTGTTTGGGCTATCCCATAGAACCAAACATCGAAGGGTAAAATGACCCGCTCAGACAAAGATGCTCCCATCTAAGATCTTGGATCTCGAATGCCACGACTATACCTACATGTATCCACCATACCTATGGCCTATGATGATGATGATGGTGATGGTGATGATGATGATGATGATTTGAGATATGATGATTTGAGATATGATGATTTGAGATATGATGATTTGAGAAATGTTGAGATGAGATATGTTGAGATGAGATATGTTGAGATGAGATATGTTGAGATGAGATATGTTGAGATGAGATATGTTGAGATGAGATATGTTGAGATGAGATATGTTGAGATGAGATTTGATGATTTGAGATATGTTGAGATGAGATATGTTGAGATGAGATATGTTGAGATGAGATATGTTGAGATGAGATATGATGATTTCAGATATGATGATTTCAGATATGTTGAGATGAGATATGTTGAGATGAGATATGTTGAGATGAGATATGTTGAGATGAGATATGTTGAGATGAGATATGTTGAGATGAGATATGATGATTTGAGATATGATGATTTGAGATATGTTGAGTTGAGATATGTTGAGATGAGATATGTTGAGATGAGATATGTTGAGATGAGATATGTTGAGATGAGATATGAGATATGTTGAGATGAGATATGTTGAGATGAGATATGTTGAGATGAGATGTGTTGAGATGAGATATGTTGAGATGAGATATGATGATTTGAGATATGATGATTTGAGATATGTTGAGATGAGATATGTTGAGATGAGATATGTTGAGATGAGATATGTTGAGATGAGATATGTTGAGATGAGATATGATGATTTGAGATATGTTGAGATGAGATATGTTGAGATGAGATAGAATGAGATGAGATATGTTGAGATGAGATATGTTGAGATGAGATATGTTGAGATGAGATATGTTGAGATGAGATATGTTGAGATGAGATATGTTGAGATGAGATATCATGTGATATCCATGATGGAGCATCCACTCTTATCTGTCCTCCACATTGTTGCCAGTTCTCTCAGATCTCCCATGCCGAGCAACTGTCGATGTCGTTGTGATGGTCTGGGTGCTGCTGACACTTGTGGTGGAGGTGATCGTAGTGGATGTCAAAATGCAAACGGGCAAAGCACCTGGTGGTCTGGGCATGTCTGGGCACTAGGCCAACTCATAGCTGGAGGATCCAGCCCTGATCTGGAGACCTTTGATGACGATGACCTTTGTGACCGTCCCCCTCCTTCCCCCGAAGCCTCCAATTCCACACATGTTTGGAGGGTTTCAGTTTGAGATCATTAGATGATCACTGTTGCTGGGAGTGAAATGTGAAGAACCTACATCCTGTAGGTCTTGTAATATATTGTCCTAAATCCTTGAAGTGGGCACCAAGTGGAAGACCTCAAACAAGTTCCGAACATCATGGTTTCCTCTGTTTTCCACCCTCCTCCCTCCAGACCCTGCTTTCCCAACTCACGGAACCTTCCAGAAGGCGGTTGGAGTTGCACGTGCGACTCTCTGGAATGCCATAAAAACTCGAAGCACAGCCAACCACGCAGGTCTCACCTGGGGGGTCTTTCGTTTGGGGCATCTGAACATCCCAAAATAAACAGAAAACGGATGAGACTGGGGGGTTCACCAACACATTTGACACACCAACTCGAAAAAATACGAGTTTCAAGTAATTACTCACTCACTCATTCACTCGGTCATACGCCGGGCCGGCATATGGCAGAAAGTTGGGTCACAGAACGTTTCCTGACAAGTGGGTCTTGCACAAACCTGGTTACTGTGCCGTGATCTCCAACAAGCTGAACAGTTTTATTCCAAACTGTTGGTACCCACTAGAGTCTAGGTCGGCACCCATATAGACGCGGCGAAGGGGGTGAGAGGACTACTTGACTCCACACATGAGGGATCTCAGGGTCATTGTCTGTTTGGGGGATGGTAATATTCATGTGGATTCAAGGGCGAATCTCAACCATCTGGGGTCACCGAAATGGGGATCACCGAAATGGGGGGCTGGTTGAATCCCCATGAAATATTGAAAACAACGGCCAAATTTGAACCCATGGGTGGAACATGGTGGAACAATCTTCACCAGGTCTTTCCATACGCTGCCCCCACCTGTGCCCACAGTGCTGCAGTTATGGTCATACTGCGCGCCCACCGGGAGGTTGTACAGGCCTGAGAAGGGGTGCCCAAAAAGCTGCCGGAAAATCATATCGAATACTCCTTGTCCCTGGTTGCACTCAAGTCTTTTGGCACGCGCTCAATTCTGAATGTGTATATCACTACAGAATCGACACACGTGGACAATTAATGAATTATATGCATGATGTTACACTATACGAGAATTTCTCATTGAGAGCAACATCCGCAGCCCCGCAGCATCGCTGGCAGTTTCTGAGGTCCCCCCCCCATTTTGTTCAAACGAACGAAACGGGAACCTCCAAACCTCATCATACTTGTATCATGTGGACATGCTGAGTGGTTCAACTTTGAAAATTATTAAAGCCAGTCATGAAACTGAAAAGTAAAATGCAACGAAATAAAACCGCCAATGATGCTCTTTATGAAACTGATCACAAATTGAGACCGTTGTCCAACACTGATGGGATTATAGATGTATTGTGCAACCCACATGAACAAATCCAGAGTTGGATAATATCCTGCCATCAGAACAATAGCTGCCATTGTAATAATGTTGACTCATTAATCAACATTTATAGTAAATGAGAAGGTAACCCAGATTCAGCCAAAAGATCCCAAAAGCACCCAACGTTTAAAATGTTTACCATGTTTTGACCGGAAAACTCGACCATACTCGACCCACATATATATGTTTGTCATGTTTGTCAGTCTGAGAATAGTGTGCTCCATTCCATCCACTGGCTCATCAACATTTTCCGGATCACAATGGCAGTTTTTTGGGGAGTAAACCCCCTATGCCCAAACACCTATGTTATATGCGTATATATGTATACAATTATATCCATTAATAATCGTATATGTATAAATGTATATTGTGTTGTATCATATTACCCCAGTGATAAAACATTGTCAGAATGAACCTGGCACAACCATTGACAGAATGTGCAAAAATTCATTGCCAACCAATCACAAAGCACATGTATGATTCCCACAATCATGGGTGCTTCTGGTTGGTTTATCTATGAAATCTTTGTAGATGTGCCAAGTGCTGCCCCATATTTATGAAGTGATTTGAACCCGAAGTGAACTAGTTCGATATATTTACAATAAACATCATAAACAGTCATAAACCAAAAAAATGTTTCAATCCTGACAACCAATTTCGCTATACTTACAGCAGTCATTTCTTCCGGGGGCACCACCTTGCCATCACAAACGACGTCCCATCTCCCACGCCGGGCACTCCAAGGCGCATGGCAGCGGGCTGCAACTGGGTAAGGTGCCCCGAAGCCCCACCCCATCTGTCTCAGTGAGGCCGGGCACCAAAGAGCCAGCGGAGCTGCCTGCCATGCAATGGAAATGATGGCAATGTTACAGTATGGGAGAGTTTGTGAGAATGTCATATGTAATATGCAGGGTAATATTGAATATTCCATGGGATGTAATGGAGGCATCACCGGATATATGTATATATATAAATAGAATCAACTGAATAATATATGAGTGTGTCTGAAAATGATGGAGATATAACATATATATATATGTATATATAAATATGTAAATATATACATATATATGTATGTATATATATATATATGATTAAAATTATAAATGTATATATTATATTCTATGAAAAAAACAATTGGGAAACATATGATCTTAATTGGCTGTGATCTTAAGAGCCTTTTTCCAAACAATGGCGAAAGTGTGTGTGTGTGTGGGAAACCCTGAATCAAAGGGCATAAGCAGGGGGCCATCCCTCTCATCATTGGTGGATGGCCAATGAAGAGGCCAATGATGAGAGCTGCAAACGTACCTGCGAACTTCTACCTTCAGAAATGGCCAGGTGGCTAAGCCATAAACCACCCATGCCGACATGACATGCTAACATGATAACATAACATTAATTACATTACATGATTTCAATTGATTTCATCTCATCTCATTTCGCCCTCTCCCTTCGGGGTGTATCCAAGTGTGTCTTCTCATGCGCCCGGATCTCTGATAAAGTGCCGGGGAAGCTTGGTGGTGCGTCCACCGGGACCGGGGATACCAGATTACTTCAGAATTCACCAGACATCATGTTGCCAGAAGCAAAATTCGCACAAGTATCCAGATTACGCACAAGCATCCAGAATTCTCCACCGGAAGCAGAATTTCTCAGAATTCCCCAGATTGCATGTTCAGAATTCGCCAGAATTACAGATTTTTCATCCCTCAGAATTCCCCGTGTCATCCCATGATTCAAACATTCGGTACGATCAAGTCATTCTAGAGTTCTAGCATGAACATCAATTATTTCTAATCTAGGGTTCTAGCATGAACATCAGTTGTGATTGAACGTTTTTCAGATGTGACCCGGTAGCCGTCGATGATCCTAGCTCATTTGGTTGCACATTTGGCAAGCAAGTGGTAACATAGCAGCCACGCAAATTGATCATCATGCCATTTAGAGTAATCTCATGATTTAGGTGTTTTCACTTTGGAGCAACGACCACATTGGTTGATTGACATGTTGATTTGCTTGTACGTCCTTGGCCACGACCATGCAGCCCGCGATGCCAGCAGCTGTTTTGCTTGCCCAGTTGATGAGTCCGCTACCACATAGCACACAAGCAGCAATACCTTTTGTACCACCATTCGCTCCAACTCAACACCACAACCAACCAACTGGACACACTCTCCCACAACCAATGCAACCACCGTGTGCCACTTCCGCATTTGCACAACCATTCTCCCCAACTCAACGCCAACACCAACTTACGGGACACAGCGTCCCACAACCAATGCAACCACCGTTTGCCAGCTCCGCGTTTGCACAACTTCCATCCTTTCACACTTTCCACACGCCACATTACAACACAGCCATGCCAGGTTTTCAGCCACCTCCACACTACAACACAGCCATACCAAATTTTCAGGCATCACCACCACAGTGTGGGTCATTCACAACACCGGCACAACCACTACCAACCACGCCAGCTCCACAACAATATCCAACCACTAATGTTCCAACTCCACCGCAAAGCCATGCAAAGCACAGCCGTACACGCTCTCGCACCACACGCAAGAAGCACAGATCCACTAGCAAGCACCGCAGACAACACAGATCTACCAAGCGACACTACACACGTCACAAATCACGGCACAGATCCACCACACCACTTCATAGACGTCACACATCACAGCACCGTTCACATCGCCGACAACAGCACCGTTCACGTTCGCCGGCAACATCACTCAACCACTGTCGGATCCAGATCCAACCACCGATCACACACAAAAACAGAACAACAACATCTCTTCACCAACACACTCCACCACGTCACCACACTTCACCACTACAATACAGCCACAACAACAAACACAATCACGACCACTTCCACCACCACCATTACCACCACAGCACTACAAGCAATCGCCATCCTCAACTTCTCTTACTCCAAATCCACCACCTCAGCCACTTCCTCCACCAATACCACCTCCACCAGCACATCCAACCAGCACAACACCGGCACAACCACTACCAACCACGCCAGCTTCACAACAATTTCCACCCACCACTGTTCCAACTCCACCACAAAGGCATGCAAAGCACAGCCGTACAAACATGGGCATGAAAAAAGCACGCAGCGCTGACCACACCACCAGTCCACCGCACAACATCACTCCCAGCAGCGCAGGCGACACCATTCCAGCAAGCACAATCACCGACCTACAGGACAAAATCCACAACCTACCGGGCATGAACACCATCCGTCCTTCACAATCGCAGCCAAGACAGTTGACGCTTGGATTAAGAAACAGCCAGTTCCCAAGCAACACCAAGCAACACTTCACGATGCCTTAAACACACTCCATCAGCTTTTGGAAAAAGTCCCAAAAGCAGAGCAAAGCACTTTTGCAGATAAAGCGGCATCACTTGGCTTGCCGGTGACGATGGCGGCAAAGGCGCGCAATGAAGAGCTCTACAAGCTGCTGCTGTTTGTTGTTACTCAGCTTGAGTGACTAGCCCGTGACGATCCGAATCATGTACAGTTTTCTGCGGCATGCGTGACTTTTTTCAGATGGCTACAACATTTTCCACCTGAAGATGTTTATGATACTCCTTCTTGTCGAACATTCCTATGGGTTCCAGGGGTCTTTGTTTTCTTCATGGTAGAAAATGGAATCGACGATTGGGCCGAATATGTTTAAAGTCTGTTCGCACATTTGTATACAGTTGCAACAAATGTTGTGCAAATCAAAGATTGTATATATCCTTCTTCATGCATTTGTTACACCAGGACTCAACATTCACCATTCGAGCACAGAATGCTACACCGGCAGCACCATACATACATTGCACGACCGTCAGAACACCAGACAACGCAAGCTGAGACAATTACAGCGAACACAACTTGTGTCCTGAGAATTGGCACTACATTGGTTGTGCAGCCAGATCAATTATCACCAGTTTGGGGCATCGCCGTTGATTTGCACAAATACAACACTACAGAATACTACAGACACGAACCTTAGAAAGCTACCTTATCCAACAATGAAGCGCAGATCCACTAGCAAACATCGCGGACAACGCAGATCTACCAAGCGACCCCACACACGTTACACATCACAGCACAGATCCATCACACCACGTCACAGGCGTCACGCATCGCAGCACCGTTCATGTCGCCGGCAACATCAATCACCCACTGTCAGATCCAGATCCAACCACCGACCAGGCACAAGACACAGAACAACATCTCTTCGCTAACGCACTCCACCACGTCACCACTCTTCACTACCACAACCACCATCACGACCACGACCACTTCCACCACCACCATTACCACCACAGCATCACAGGCCCCGAGATCGGTGTTGGTGCATCCACTCAACACTAGCAAACATCACCAGCTTTTGGGTTCGTGAGCCTGATCCAAATTTCATTACACCAGCACAGCACCTACATCGACATGAGCATGATGATGTTGAGCTACCGTCACTGTCGGTGGATGTGCAAATACGAGGCTGCTGAGTGGACAGTCTCACCTTCGGATCATACTACACTACAAATATACCATTCTGTCATATACTATGATGTTATATATCTATCTTGTGTTTTCACAACGTTGATGGCCTCTTCCATGTGTTTGATTCTGATTCGAATCGCAGGCTTGACTTCGAGCACGAAAAAACCTAGTAGTTAGTCTCAACCCCGTGTACAAACAGCAGCCTTGTCTCTACACAATTTGATTTCCCGTGGAATTTTACTTTCACCAAAATTTCATTGTTGGTGATTTTTATGCTTCATTCTTTACATTGATTTGATCACTAGCAATTTCACAGTTTGGTGTTTAGACTGAGTGGATCACAAAACAATTTAAGTGCTCATCAGTGGCGCCCATAGATCTTGCGGAGCGGATCAGCTTTTCCACCGTTGACTTGAGTTGAATCATGACCTCGTGGCGCGGTGGCAGTGGTCTTGATGACTCTTGGCATGGGAGACAGTACAACAACAACACACCACCACCAGCACAACATACACGCACACCCGCCCCACCCACACTAAGCCCACAAGGTACAAAGCGGAACGACTGCGACTTACCAAGCACATTCCAGCCTGACAGTCAATAATTTGACCAGCACAAGCAGTTCAAGCACAATCCGAACCATTACCAGCACAACGGCGAGTTCTACCTCAAGTACATCAGCCAACAGCACCAGCAAAGGTACCTCCAGCATACCCTTGACCAACGACAGCACTGCCAGCGCTTCCGCAACCAGCGTCTTCACAAGCAAAACAAGTACATCAATAATCCCTTTCTCCTAATACTAAACGTCCCCCTAATACTAAAAACAGGCATCCATCTCCAATTTCCGAAAATTTCAGTTTGGCCAATTTGACTTTTAATTGATCCCCTTTAAAAAACAATTCAAAAATCAACCTACCATTTGTGGGTTCTCCCCCTAATACTAAAAACTAATTCATCCCGGGGTGTTTAGTATTAGGGGGGCTAGTTTTTAGTATTAAGGGTTTTAATTTAGTATTAGGGGTAAGCTTCGAACTGCCATTTTTGGCAATATTTTAATTGCGTTATATAAGGAAATTTAATTGATTTTGAGATCGGAAAAAATAGTTTTTAGTATTAAGGGTTTTAATTTAGTATTAGGGGTAAGCTTCGAACTGCCATTTTTGGCAATATTTTAATTGCGTTATATAAGGAAATTTAATTAATTAATTAACATGACTTCGATTTGGTTCCCTAATAATAAATACCCCCCTAATACTAAAAACTACCTGCCGTGTTTTGTATTAGGGGGGGGGAGGGGGGGGGGTTTAGTATTAGGAGGAAGGGATTAAGCACATCAACCAGCATTTCTAGCACAAGCACTTGAAGCCTGACCAGAACAACTACCAGCACAACGGCTTGCTGTACTTCAAGCATATTAGCCACCAGCGCAAGCACAAGCACTTCCATCACATCTTTGACCAGCGCCAGCTTCTCCAGCAATTCTGCAAGCAGCACCTCAAGAAGCAGCACTTCAATGTCCAGCACTTCCACAAGCAACACAAGCACATCAATCACATCAACACGCATGTCCGGCACAAACACTTCTAGCGCAAGCATTTCAAGCCTGGCCAGAACAACCACCAGCACAACAGCACGCTCTACCTCAAGTACATCAGTCAACAGCACCAGCACAGGTACCACCAGCATATCGTTGACCAGCGCCAGCACTTCCAGCACTTCCACAACCAGCACCTTAACAAGCAGCACAAGCACATCAATACGCACATCAACAAGCATTTCCAGCACACGCACCTCAAGCCTGACCGGAACAACTACCAGCGCAACGCCATGCTCTACCTCAAGCATATCAGCCACCAGCATAAGCACAAGTACCTCCAGCACATCTCTGACCAGCGCCAGCTTCTCCAGCAAATGTGCACTCAAGAAACAGATCAGCACTTCAGCAAGCAGCATAGGCACGTCAAGTACATCAACAAGCAGTGCCAGCAAAAACAGTACCAGCACAAGCACTTCAAGCCTGGCCAGAACACCTACCACCACAACGGCATGCCCTACCTTACGTACATAAGTCAACAGCACCAGCACAAACATCTCTGACCGGCGCCAGCTTCTCCAGCAATTCTGCAACCAGCACCTCAAGAAGCAGCACTTCAATGTCCAGCACTTCCACAAGCAACACAAGCACATCAATCACATCAACACGCATGTCCGGCACAAACACTTCCAGCACTTCCGCCACTAGTACCTGCAATAAGCAAATCAACAAGGAGTGGGATGCTGCAGTGCGGATGGTGGAAGTACGTTCTCGTGCGTGTAGCCTGGCTTGCGTTTTCTTGACCGATCGAGATTCTAGTTTGGTTGTACTTGATACCGATACCTTGTATTGCTGTCACTTTGGTGCTTGAAGCCATTTGAAATCTGACCAGCACTATCTTGTTTTGCATTCATCCCGGTGTTTCGAACTATATGACATGAGGCCAACAGCACTGAGGAGTGGTTTTGCTATAACTAGTTTAGTTGGAAACAACTATGCTAAGGACATTAAGGACAATTTCTCTTATGGAAAATCGTGCCCTAGCAGCTTGCTGTGTGTGGGAAACCCTGAATCAAAGGGCATAAGCAGGAGGCCATCCCTCTCATCATTGGTGGATGGCCAATGAAGAGGCCAATGATGAGAGCTGCAAATGTACCTGCGAACTTCTACCTTCGGAAATGGCCAGGTGGCTAAGCCATAAACCATCCATGCGGACATGACATGCTAACATGATAACATAACATGACATGATTTCATATCATCTCATTTCGCCCTCTCCCTTCGGGGTGTATCCAAGTGTGCCATAGTGACAGCGTTGGACATGGGCGTGAATCCCTGCTAATGGATTGATGACTGAATCGAATCCAACTGTTGACTATGGATTGGCTATATATGGGGTTTTCCTAAAATAGGGCTACCCGGCTACCCCCAATAATCATCCATTTTAAATGGGATTTTCCATCATGAACCATTCAGCTATTGGGGATCATCCCAGGTTGAACCTGTGCCAGCTCGGCTTGCCATCGGTGGTAGCCCTCTTGGAACATGGCGAATCCCCCAGCTGAGGACGTTCATGGAAAAACCATCTGTAAACTACACAAAATATGTGGAAAATCCAGCCATTTGTTGATATGTGGAGGGTAACTGGTTAGCTTTTCAAGTTCTGATAGTACCCTCCGAGATTTAGATGATCACCATCATGGCATCACCCTTACCTTACCAGTAGTGAATATGAGATTACATAAGCACCCCCCGGATGTTCTTTGAGCATGAACCTGAACACACTTATATACCAAAATAATGAGATCCCAATTATGATGACACCATACCCTTCAAGACTCAGTTTGCCTTCCATCTTATATATTTCTTTCACATGAGTAACCCCATCCCCATAATATTAAACACCCCTAAATGGTCCCAAATATATGGTGGGGATGTAAAATATTAGGGGGATGGGATCCTACCCACTCAGGGCCCAAAACTCCCACGCCCCACGTGGATTTCGCCTGCACAGTGCCAGCGCTGTGACGTCACGGCTGCGTTGGACGATGTGTAGCCGACGTCGCAGAAGGCAAAGCAGGAGGCACCAAAGACGATGCCAGCGCAGGTGTGCGCCTAAGGGGCGGCGAATGACGAAGGTGGAGATGTTACTTCAATGACTATAGATGACTGAGGGGGGTCAAACATCTCAATCAATGCCACTTGGGAGGAAATGATCCACTGTAAACCCATGGAGGTTGTTATCTTCCTTTCTCTCCTATGCAAATTGAAGGGTTTTTGATACACCCTCGATGTGCTGTGTAATCCGTGTAGTCAGCAAAAGATCCTCCAACCCACAGATTCCGAAAAGCTGCTTCGACTTTAAAATTGAAAGAAAGCAAAACCACATCTCCAATAGAAATAGTTATAGAAGGAAAACATGTCTTCGTACTATATCTCCTGGCATTGCTCGCTGCCATGTTACCTTACCAAAAGAACTGATTAAACATAGATACACAAGATCACTACCTCAATCATTGCTACAACTTCACCTCTGATGTTCATGCCACCTGAGGTCATTTGGAGGTTTCCAAAGTCATGGGGGGCACCCCAAATCCTCCATTTTTGGGGTGATTTTCCATTAACAAAAACCATCATTTTTGGGTATCATCCGTTTTTTAAAGGATTGTCCAGTATAAACAGCCCTTAAACATCCATTAATCATCCATTAAACATATTTAAACATCCATTAATCATCCATTCATCATCCATTTAGTCACCATCCATTGATGGAAACCCTCATCTTGGCCCAAGTGGCCATCCCTGTGGCAACCAGCGCAGTGTCACAGCCAATCGCTTGGCAGCTGGTCGAACTGCCAGAGGCAGCTCCGTCCTGCGGAAACTGAGCCCAGATGGGTCTGGATGTTTGTTGAACTTTGGATATCTAGATACCATTGAGTTTTAAGATATGGGCCACGGTCGATATTTGGTATCTAGCTCCAGGTCATCAATTTTTGGTGAGTGCGTTATCGTTTTCCAAATTTAAGGTGGTTTTTCTGGCATTTTGAAGATGCAATTGGAATGGTAGGCTCCATGTTGAAATGCTGGGCTTTCAAAACCCACAATGTTAGTATTGATGTCTCTGCTCATGAAGGCGTGCATTAATACTGGTGAAAACTGCTTGACAGCCAGCACAACATACAGGCTTTAGTGGTGACATGCTGTAGGATGTGTCTCAGTAATGTGGGTTTCCTCCAGCAGAAACTTACTCAGCTCACAGGAGAATACTACTGTTCGGACTGTTCAGACCTGTCGATATCAAATCCTGGCCACGTACAGCATATTTATATATATATACCATCCCGCCCCTCAAAAAAAACATGGATAATCTATAATATGAATGAAAACCTGTCACCTGTCTGCATATATACTCACATATATTATATATAGTTAAAATATATACATATATGTATATATAAATATATTAAATGTTAATGTACATACATAGTCATCCTGAAGTAAATAGACTGAGTATGTTTCAGAAGTTATGGAAGCAAGGCCCTCTTTGGGGCCTCTTGACAGGTCCAAACACTGGGAGACGCCGAGGCAGAGTAGGTGTAGCCATCGGCGCAGGTCTGCAGGCAGGTCTCACCTGGGCTAAAATGATGGTAGGTAATGGCAATGCTGATGCTGATGATGATAGTGATGATGGTGATGATGATGATGATGATGATGGTGGTGGTGGTGGTGATGGTGATGGTGATGGTGATGGTGATGATGGTGGTGGTGGAATAGTCAGCCTACATGAAAGAACCAGTAGCTCGCCTTGAGTGCTGAAGAAGGCACAGCAGGTACAGATGCAAATGTGAGAAACAAAAGCTAGCTAACAAACTGATTTGGCCTCACATGTTGCGCATGACACAGCCACATGTCACCTGTGTGTAGGACTCCCAAGTGTGGCTTTGGTTTTCACTGACTCTGTCTGTCGCTGGGGGCCATCCCTGATATGCAAGATGATTGCAATATAATATATTGGCATTCTGGAATCTATGCCAGAAACAGGCTACACCTTCATGATGACTCAACTCCATAGCCCCCTGCTCCATGTCGCGTGGTCAACCGCTAGACTGCAAAACACAAAAAGGTCACCGGGATTTCTCTCTTCCTTACCCTTCCTCCCCATGAAGGGTCAAAACTTCCTATATTCACCAATCATTCACCAACCTTTCACCAACCCTGCCCTCCCGGCCTGTCGTCACAGTTGAGCAGTTGCTGGTGACCGATGAGCTGTCCGCTGGCAGGCCCGAGGTACACGCCTGCCAGCGGGCGGGTTCACAGTTGCTGCTTGGATACCTTTAGTCCCAACAAATCATGCAGCATCTGGGAAAACACGATCTTTTGTAGGTAGGTAATCTCCAATAATTATGGGGGGATATAATATAGCTATGCTATACTTCATGGGGTTTAGCCAACTAGCAGCAGCCAACAAAACTCAGGGGGGGATCCACCGATCCCCGCCCGACCACCGTCGGCTCCACCTGGGGCTCACAGGTGGGTAAGGTTCCTTGCAGTTGCACTTGGCCATCCGCCCAAGCACACTGCCACTCCTGCACAAAAAAAAGGTGCGTTGCCCAGGGGGTAAGTGACATAATGTGATAAACCCAAGAAGGGATGATGGTGACCACCCATTTAAAGTAATAGTCGAGATGGTTTGTGTTTTATTGGGTTTACCATGGTTTACCATGGTTTACCAAATTACATGAGTTGATTCCTGGATGGTGGTTTCACTCCTCCGCAAATATGAGCAAACTGCAGGTCTAACATATCATGACCCTGGTCAGGGATGCAGAATCGAGAAAGATGTAGAACGCACAACTGCTTTTTCTCCCATAATTCAATGTGAAGGTGGGAGAGTCTTTGAAGGCCTTTTTGGGTGTTGCGTGCACCCTGTTGCAAAGGCTCATCGTTAAAAGGAACTCAGCCCTGGTCTCCTGAACCCCGGAGCTGGTGTACCTGAGATGTTTCATGGATCAGCTGATAGAAAGCCAACAGGCCAACAGGCCAGGGGACTTCCCGTATCTTCCCATGGCATTCTACGGCATTGATATCACCAATGTTTTGTCAATTTGACCATCGAAGATCCCGCTTTGAACTTCCCGGGCCCGCCATGCAGCCCAGGAAAATCCGGCTGGCCGTTCTCTCGGCTCCATACTTCAAACCTTCCGAATTATGTTTATATATGGGTTTGTTGGATAGGGCACCCCCAAATCCGATGATCATCATGTTACCCACCCTTGCCGAGCACTTGGCCATCTTTCACCATCCTTACCAAGCAACCCCGGTGCGCAATACACTGCACACTTGCTGCCATACGTTGTGCCTTGGGCCACGGACCCCTCATATCCCTCCGAAAGGGATCAACATACTAGTAGCGGGAAAACAGTATGAAAACAGATTTGGTAGCGCCGCAGCGCCTGAGTTTCGGATATGCACCCGACCCAACATGATGAATCTCCAGTTTTGCTGTTGTTTTTTGACACTTCTTCACCATGGACTCATCAACCAAGAATATCTGGGAGAGCGCAGGAGCCTAAATTCATACAAGCGAAAATCCAAATCCCCACGACCAACATCCCTTGCAGATGACCAACAAACTGATGTGGAAGCAGAGATGCCTACACTCCCATACAATTCACCAGATGAGGCTAATGATGATCCTAAACCGGATGACCAAAGTAATGACCCAGGTATGTCATCCGGTGTTCGGATTGGAATAACATAAATTCCTTCTACTAGGGCTGAGGTAACTCTTGAAGTTGCCCCGCTGGAGAAATCCCATCATCCAGCGATTAAGATCCTGGGGCAGTTCTTGCCGGCATCAGCTTAGGAAAGAGACAACGGGCATCAGCGATGTATATGGCAAGCCCCAAACAATAGAACTTCTATTGAATCTTACTAGAACAATGGTGCATGTACACTCTGGTTATTTAACGTAGCCATGGAAAATGGCCCATTTATAGATGATTTTCCCATTAAATCCTCCATTTATAAGGGATTTTCCATGGCTATGTTAAATAACCAGATGGCACATGCAACTAACCTGTTCTATCTTTTTGTTGGGCTTCGATAACCATCAAACAACTTGGTTGGTCGACCAAGCAACCACTGCAGGTGCTACGGAAGGAGGCCGCCCAAGACTTGTCCGCACAGGTGAGCGGCTTACAGCTGGGCATGGTGCCCAGGATGTAGCCTGGCATGGCTGCTGAGAAATCCGCCAGTTACCCTCTGGTAATTTAACATAGCTATAGAAAATCACCATTTTTAATGGGTAAAGCATCTATTTCTATGGGCCATGTTCCATAGCTTTCCATAGCTTTCCATACTTCAATGATTTTCCCATATTTTCCCAGCGAACTAAACCTCCGAGTTTGGGGATGTTCCATTAAGGATATGCGTCTGATATAGTCTGATGCCTGAGGGCGATGCCGTTCTTTGGTTGACACACGTCTGAAAGGTCCCAATGGCAATTAGTCAATGAGTCGATGCTGGAGTCCATGTATATACATATATATATAATTGTATATATATATATATATACATTATTGTATGCTTCATACATTCCATATGGTTATCCGAGTAGTTACATATATATATATATATCATTATATATTATGTATATCCCGTTGGTTATCGCGATATTCTTAGTTCATTATTCCTTCGTATATACTCCCATTAGTTAGTATAAGATAGTACAAGCAGTATTCCCGTTGGATTAGCGTTGATTCCCTGATATTCCGTATATCCCATTAGTGAGTATTAGTGTAAACATCCCAATGCATACCAACATTAGTTTACTCCCAGTCTTCATCCGTGACCGTTGCTTGTACAAACCATTGTTAACCATAGATATCCATAGATTATCTATCACGATCCTATGCATATCTTACCGTATCCATATATCTATATGTAAACCAACGTATCCCAATGTATATCGGGTGATTCCCATTCATTCTTAACCGTAGATTAACCATATAGATTCATCATATACATTTACTAAAATCAGATTTACATAGATTTACCATAGATTCACCATACATTAACCATAGATTAACCCACAGATGATCTATCTCCATCCTGGCCGAAAAATGCCACGATTTCCCCATCGGCACCGGAGGCATCGCAGGTCAAGGACGCGTTGCCCGGGAGGAAGCCATCAGCGCAGGTCACCTGGCACTGGAAGTCCAGAGGGCGACTCAGAATGGTGATATTCAATGATTAATTAAGATACCAAAACCAAAATATGGCTTTAGAATAGTATATTGATATCTATCTATCTATCTATCTATCTATGTATCTATCTATCTATGTATCTATCTATGTTTAAATGGTATGTGCAAATATTGCTATAGAATGGTATCTATATGGAATAGAAATGGAAGTGGCTCTAAGAAGGCACTATCAGTATGGAATATTGGCATCTTTAATACTAAGATATGGCTGATAAAATAGTATCCATATTAAATATATTAGATGGAATATGAATGGAATGGAACATTCAAGGAATATTCATGGAATACTAGAGTCTACTAGAGGAATATTCAAGGAACATTGATGGAATATTGGTTATGTACCATTATGTACCATTTGGTAGGTACTCTAACGTAGCTATGGAAATTCACTGTGCACTGTGTGTAGTAAACCATCGAACTCAATGGGCAATGGCGCAACCACTTCGTAAGCTGTTACATTACCAGCAAAGGGTGACCCGTGAATCAAAGAGGTTGTTCTTTAGTCTTTAAAAGCTGGATGTCTCATATATTCTACATTATGCTATATACATCATGTCTATATCACTAAAACATACACAAACTGCTGGACTTAAATATCGATAAATCCCGGATCCCATAATTAGTAACTAGATGTAATTCGTGACTAGTAATCATTTTTGATGCCCCAAAAACATGATGATCATCATTGATCATCCATAAATCCCACGTTCACCAAGCATTCACCAACCTTTTTTTTGCCACAGCCAAATGTGTGCATCAAATCCATCCGGCCTCGCAAGATTGTCCAGTGACCAGGCCGTTGCAACCTGCCAGGGTGAGATACGGGGATCATGATAAACATTATGCGTGTGATGGAGATGTGATGGAGAATGATGGAATATTTCACGGAATATGATTATATATATATGCATATATATATATATATATAGTGCACATGATTGGCGAACATACGTCTATGTCGTAAAAAAAATACGCCGCGATTGGAAAATCATCTTGCAGAATTTAAGGTTCCACTTCCAAATTTCAACAATGGAAGTGGCTCCAAGGATGATGAATGCAGGTGTGCCACCAGAGTCCGACGAACAATGCATAGCCACCTCCCATTTATCGGATTAAACCGTTACTCGAGAATTATGTGTATATATGATGCATATGTAATTGTATGGTATTGTATGTGTATACATTTATATATATATATATAAGTCTACTATCTATCAAGTTGGTGGTTTCAAGTAATCCCAACAAAAGCACACAACATCACACCATTGGGCCAATCCCCCTGGGACTGAGTGCAGTCCCAAGGAACTGGTGCTGTTCACGGTCGGATTGTCGGGCAGGGTCTGATCACATGGATTCCCCACGCAAGTGGGTAGCCCTCCACTGAAGCTTCCATCAGCCTGAATAGCTGAGAATCCCCAACAAAGCGGCTAGTAATGACCCCCAGAATCAATAAACACACACGGTTTTTGGTGACTGCTCAACTGGGGCTGCGATGATTCAAAGATGCTGAAAGCATATGAAGGCGCGAAGGAGCGGTGAGCCAATAGAAAGGCGTGGGTTCCCCCTTGGTATATGGGGGGAACCTACCTACCTAATAAACCGCCCAAACAGAGACGAATCAGGAACAGAGAGTGAACTAGTGGATACTAGCAGTAATTACCAATCGACACAGAATGCCCAGGGCTCAGCCCGAGTCATGGAAATCAACTAGCCTCCCAACCTAGAGACCTGTTGACTTCTTTAGACTTCTGGCAAATATGGGGGTAGCTTCTGGCAAATCCACCTGACAAGGGAACCTCTCCTTTATCAACTTGTGAAATCATACTTTGTCCATCTACAGTATACAATTATTGGGTGGTATTCCCAAGCCAACCAGTCTTCGTTTCAGGGCTCCGTGCCTGACATTCTCTCCTGCTACTGGAGCCTGATAAGCTATAGCCTGGCACCCGCTGTGATTTCAAGGGAGGGAAACGGTTGGAACATCTGATCCAAATGGATGACAACTAAATATGAATGGGTTTTCCGTTACCAGAATAAATTGCTGGAGGGCACATGAGGGCACTCGAGACTTTTGACAGTGGTGCACTTGGAAAAAGTCGGACAAGAGAAGCCGCCAAGAACTCTTAAGCCGAATGCATTCTAAGTTGAATTTTGTGGACCTGCCCTTATTTCTTAGAGGTACCCACATAAGGTTGTCTCAAATCTGGCAAACCCATTCCATCCCATGCTGTGGCCCGTGGCACCTTGGCCACAGCCCACTTCACAAGTGTCCTGGAAGCGTTGGCCTGGCGGGATGGTGAGGGGCAGAATTGGGGTTGTTAGCAATTGAGTTGTAACAGACTGAAGCTTGCCTGCGTCGTTTCCGCCTTTTTGTTGTTGTTTTTTTGGGCTGTGGAATTTAGAATGCCTTCGAAATTGAACACGAAAGAGTTTCAGGTGGTATTTCCAATGATACCTGGACTTGCAACAAGAAAAGACGATTTGTTGATTGATTCTCATGATTTGCTGTTTCGTTTGATGTTCCTAATGCATGAGCAAAGTCTCCGGAGCCCCTGCACCCAAGAAACCAATGTTTTTGGGGGAACTTGAGTGGTGTGGCAGCCAGATCTGTGGCTCAAACTTGAAGTTTGGGACGCACTTGTTGCACCCAGTGGGATAGAAAGTTGCAAACACCTGTTGCCAAATCAACTGAAACGACCCCCGTTTTGCCGCTACCTAACCTACATGATCTCAAAAATTGGATGTTGATCCTCATGAGACTCCATTCCCTGGACCAATGAAATGGGTTTGTCTGAAAATAGCTTAGCCATGATTAGCCCAAAAATCATAGTTCAAGATAGTTTAAGAATGTCTTAAGACTTCATCTTCCCCAGTGTTGAATTATAGTTCATGGCCATAAGGGTAACTTCTTTTCCTGGGGGCCAGTGCTCCAAGCCAGCCTTGGCAGTTGTGCAAGTACTGACTCTCCAGCTGCAAATCAGGACAGGTGATGCGCTCACCTCGTAAATGGATCGTAACCCCATCTATGGGCTAGGAGATTTCATGGGACTTCCAGCAGTTATTTATCAGTTTTGCAGGGAAAAACGATGTTTTCCTGTCAATAACTCCTGAAACAACCTCAATCCAGTGAGGAATATGGCAGGTTATGACGTGATATTCAAAAACAAAAAAGTACAGTATTTTAGTGTCGGAATATGGTAGAGTGTTGTAAACCCACTTATAAACTTATAAACCATCCCCAATAGAGGTTGATTCTCAGGTATACCGCTATTTGCGATGATGTTCTTAATGAGCCCCAGTCATGGTTGGTTAATGCTGCGGTTTATGGCCATTGGCTTTACAACATTAACTCTCTCTCCCTATATATAATTCAATTAGTTCAAATATATATATATATATAATATCATATAATGTCAAAAGGTGTTACTTATGTGCATTCGTATAGTATGATTTACATGAATATATATATATATATATATATTCATATTGATATATGATGATATATGTATATGTATCCCAATTGGCTGTCCCAATATTCTTTTAGCCGGCCTTTCCATCCCTTATTCATCTTATATTTTGGTGACCAAAAAAAAAGTGACCTTTGGTGACCAAAAACGCACCATCCTGACGAGCCATGACGAGCCACAGGTGGGGGACGTGCCGCTGAGACTGCCAGTCGCCAAGCACGTGAAGCTTTCTGCCACCTGCCCTGCGGAGTAGTTGAAGCCAGCCTCAGGGAAAGAAACATAAGAAACCTTTGGTGAGGCTGGAACCCACTGTGGGACCTACAGGAAATCTTAGAAACGCTGGACGCGGGGGAAAAAAGCTGCCCCTGCAACTTGCAAAAAATGCCAGGAGTATTTATTCTGTTCTCATGGGCACGGGGCTGGGTAAGCATCCCTTGGATTCCCTTGGGATGAAATCTCCTGCCCTGCAGCAACAAGTGGCTTCCGTGCAGCTTGCAATGCATGTCTGTCCAGTGACAACACCATCGCCTCATTGCCAGAGGAGTTTAAGATGTCTTGGTGACCTTGGTGATGTCCTCGTTTCCCATGAAACTTTCCCATCTTCATGGCTTGGGCTTCCACAGCTAAACGTTGTCAGCACCAGGAGTGTTAAACTCTATCTTCCTGGACGAATGGACATCCAACATAAATTGAAACAATCCCGTCTCACTTCACAATTGTATGTCGGATTGGGCCCAATGGCATTCTGTACGGCTTTAACATGTTATTCAACCTCATTGAGAAGCATCAATAATTCAAATCCAATTTTTTGGACATTCTGTCAGTGACCTGCTTAAAGCAGTTTCCCCCAACGGTTCGCCATGCCACATGTGTGTAACACACCCAGGGCATTTGGGAATGCAAAAGTGCATGGTATCGCAGTACAGGTAGGCAACGAGGCACCCACCAAAGCACCTTGAGAAGTGACAGCTGGGGACCACACTGTAAATTGCAGCTTGATGTCAGGGAGAATGGAAAGGAAACGAGGGTTCTTACATGTGTTTTTAAGATTTTTTAATGCAAAGTTTCGTGCAAGTCTGGGAACCTGGAAGTGAGGCCCCATTGGGTTAGAAACCATCCTTTCAAGGCATATGCCCCCCTCTAAACTAAGCACCCCAAGGTCCACAAGAGTGCCCTTCGTCTCCCTGGCAATACCCTAGCAGGACTCTGAAATTGTGATCCCATTGCCCTCTGATGCTCCTATCTGACAAGATAAAATATTATATATATACGGTATATCTCTCTCTCTCTGTGTTTTTATTTCTTGTGCCCTTATGCTTATTTGTATCAGCATCTTGGAAGTGGCCTCAGGTGGACTGCTTGGTATTGGCACATGGGATTACCTTGGGCCCAACAGCAAACACGCGTATTACACAATGCCCACATAATCTGCTCAATTTCCGTGACTAGTCGTGGTTGTGATCTCATTTAGTTCAGGAGCCCATGATATTGTATTACAATAATGAGTATTACATTAAATTATTGCATCCCTGTTGGTCAATCCTTGGTCCTTTCATGACTGGTTACAAGATATTCAACAATTACACAGTGCAAAACCCAGTACTTAGATCGGTAATGGAAGTAGCTCACTACTTAGCAAATGGATTGCACTTGGGGATATAGTGGGTTATCAGTTTCTAACCAGTTTGCTAATCCCATGTGCCATCTAAGTAGACATCCATCTCCAATTTCACGAGTTGCTCTTTTGAATACAACTGGTGGTTGGTTTCAAACCATCCGAAAAATATGCTCGTGAATTTGGAACATCAACCATCTTCAGGGTGGGAAATCAACCATGAAAATGAAACTATAAAATCACTAGCCAACTGTGTAATACCCACACACACAATATATATATATATATATTGGAATTATATATATATATACACCTAGAAACACCAGCGGCAAAAAAAACAAGTGCCTCAGGCCCCCAAGGCGAAAAATAACGCCGCATGAGTTTTGTTTTGCCTCTGGTGGGTTAAAAACGCCTCTGGAAAGCAAAAAAAACGCATCAAACACAAGAGTTTGCCAAAGCCCTAGGACTCCCCATGGCAACTTTTGCAGTTGCAAAGCCCACAACTAGGGACCAAACCCCTGACAAAGAGCCGCACGTACTGCTAAGGAATTCCCATGATTTCCCTACGCAATAAACGCTGCAAGAAAAACAATGCAGAAAACAAGCCCTAGAGTACATACAGTACAGTAAATACGTTTTCATAGTTGCACATTTCAAGCGTTGGCTTACATCGACATTGAGTCACATGGATTGCAGCTTTCAACAAAGGTTCACGACAGGAAAAAAACTAGAAGAAACAAAATCCGTGATACAACCTTTTGGAATCTTTTGGACATGTTCCCGGCAAGATTTGGACCTCAATTTTCAGAGTCCGTCCTTTTCCGCCGTTTTCCCGCCCTTTTCCGGCGTTTTCTGTCCTCTGAATTTTCTGTTCTCCATGTTTTTCCTGGCTTACCTTTGCTCCTCATACAATTGTTGTCGTATTCACTTCGGTTGCCTTTTGGAAAGATGCTGCAAATGCCAAAAAGCAACAAACAATTCCAGTGAGAAAGGAATTTGATGCATTTTGTGGGCAATGACAGTCTCGATGACAGATTTTAGCCACGCAGAAGCTACGCCCCCAGTTTTACATAGTTTTACACTATTGAGATTTGGAATTGGATTTAGCCAAGGCTTTGCGTTCGCAGGTATTGAAATCAAAACAATGTACCCATCCCAGAACAATCTCGAACAGAGAAAAAGGAAAAACAAGGATTACAACAAAAACGCATCAGAAAACAAAAACTGCCTCAGCAAAGCAAAAATGCCTCAGATCAAATGGAGCGCCTTAGACCCTCCGAGGCGTTTCGTTTTTTTTTGCCGTTTTGTTTTGCCAGGTATCAGGTATCCATTGGTATCACTCTGGATTCCCGCCTTCATCCACCCCAAAAAACCGGGTCGCCGTTCTGACAGGTGAAGATGGAGGGCTCTGTTTCCGTCATGTTCCAACCCAGGGAGCAATGTGCCACGCAGGCGTCGTTGTTCGCCTCCGACAGTCGGAGCTGGTGACAGCAACCAACGGAAACATATAGTATATAATGCATAGTTGTATATACCTATTGATCATGAAATCAAATGAACACATATAGATCTACAAACACACAAAAAAAAACATATCAATAATATGCATGCACAGAATGCCTCAAGTATATCTCTCTATCCTCTAAAATGAATCAATTGTTTTGATCCCTGTTGTGGTATTTTCCAGTGCCCTTCACGCTGACCTTTTGTCTTTTATTGGATCTAGTGTGTGTTTTGAAGTCAGTTATTTATGTTATTTGGGGTATCTATATAATGTTCGGGGAGAGGATTTGTCATACTGACTACTTGTCAAAACATGTCAAAACATGTGTGCACGTTTGCCATGGTTGATAGTTAGATAGTTTTTCACATAGCAAAAAACTAGGAACCCTCCAGCGATCCTCCCCAGTTGATACACGATTTAGTTTCGTAAACTGTTAAACAAATATCATTTTTTTAAGTTACACAGCAAAATGGTGTATGATTCAATGCTGAGACTGACTGGGGACTATGTTCCGTCTGGTCTGCTACCAAGGATGTCAAGCAGGATTCCTCCTTAAAATCTGATCAGCCGTCACCCTACGAACCAAACGTCTGGCAAGGCATTTTCCAGGCGCTTTCCGGGAAAGGTGTTGCAGCCACCAACAGAAAACCCAGGAGGTATCAAGGCAAAGCATATTATCTTCCTCCGTTCATTGCACAAGTATTTGGCCGTTAACCTACCAAACCAAGATGCTCAAATATATGTGCCATGGTCCAGTCACATGCGATTCATGGGGCATGGTCATCCCGCCATCATTCATGAACGGGATTTTCTTATCATGGAGAATATTAGCCACTAATGATTTGGGGATGACCATTAACTATCATTAACATATGGGAAAACTTGGGAAAATAATCCATGTTTCGAGCATGGCACATCATATATGAAGACTAGACTATATATTATATATCCATCTACAGAATGATGAGATCTGGGTATGTCAATGGATGTCTGTGAAGTATCCCGATGTATCCCGAACTTGCGGATGCAACTATTGGAGCGCGCAACCGGACTGAAATTGATTGCAAACACAGGGGGTCTAAATACACAAGCCACCAACCAAATAACATGTTGGAAACTTGCAGAATCTTGTCAAAGTATGTCAAAGTATATAGTTTGTTGGCCTAGACTCTCCTCCAACAAATGGTTTTCAAGATGGCTCATCTCCGATATATTGCTATGCATCTATCCAATTCTATCCAAATAACTTAGGGCTGGCCTAGTTGATATACTTATCAATTCAGCTATTGGGTGGTCCAACCTAATGGTCCAGAATACCATCTTTGAGTATCGGGCGGCAAACCCACAATATTCAGAATTTTGTTGAGTCAAGGAAACATGGGTGTGTTTAAAAATACTTCTCATCCCCAACATTTTAGATACTGAGATCATGACTTAATCCATTGGAACTGGATAAAAACCTTTCCCAAGGCATCAGCCCAGCGCCCAGCCGCGCCTTTCCGGTGCAGTCATGTGTGAAGGAATCAGTGGAGAGGCCAACCACCACCGCCGAGCTGTCCTTGCCGTCATCTATAGTAACCCCGAAAAAGAAACAAAAAGATAGAAAAGTTGATGGCTACCTTTTTGGTGGGTTAGTATATGTAGGAATATATAAATAATATTTATATATATTATACATATATATATATAATATTATATATATATATATTGTATGTATATATATATATTATACACACCTAAGACATCCTAAGATATTCTACGACCTACCTTCCCGTCTTGATCTTTTGCATCATCCCATCCGAACAATGTACGGAATCTATATCCTCATCAGATCTCATCGGAAAATAGATGGGACATAATAATATGGGTCCCTCAAAAAATACTCGATGGTACTTAGTTCCAGGTGCCACAACCTCGCGCTGTATCACCAAGCGGCCAAACAATTGGAGGATGACAGGCGTCGCCCACTACCAGTACCTTAAAGGTTGGAACCAGACACAGCTGGGATGAAGGGCTAGAACATGGTAGAACTTGGAGGATCATTTTGGCGATTCGTCTGATTCCGATTCGTCTGATTCCGACTAAGTGACTAAGTGAGTGGGGCGGACTCTCCAATTACCCTCTGGTAAACTAACATAACTATGGAAAATCACCATTTTCAATGGGAAAATCCACTATAAATGGCCATTTTCAATAGCTACGTTAAATTACCAGAGGGTACTCTTAGTAATCCAAGCTGGCAATGGAAAATCATCATTTTCACCATCGATGTCATCTGCAAATGGCTTATTTTCCAGGACTTTGATTACAGGCTTGCCGTGTCTTGCCTCGATGGTTCATGGCGAAGCGTTGCAACATCAGACCGGCGACACGTGATTTCCACAACTGTCCTGAAATTGTTGCTTAGCTTCCTGAACTTAGAAAATCCAAACAGTCAGAGCTTGGAATCCACGAATGCTTCAACAAATGTTGGATTTGAAACATGACGCCTTTAACTCTACCTCTCATTCAACATTGAGACACAACCTCGAACTTCCAATATTTCAACACTGCGAAACTCGTAGTCATATTCCAAACACGTTGGTGGGCGAGAACTCTCCTCTTTCATATCGAAACCAATACATGACATCTCAGTTTCGCCATCCTGGGGCCACTGGTGGCCCCATGCCAGATTTGCTGTCCAGCCACTGACACAGACTACTGCATCTCCTAAAGGTTCGATCTGCACCGCATTGGCGGTCACATTGGCTTGGCAGCGGTAGGCTTTTGGAGTGCCTGCAGCACTGGGTTTAAGATGGTTTAAGGCCAAGGCAATGGGGAGACTAGTGCCTTCTTCCTGATGTCAAATACCACCCTATCGAAACCCTACAGTCCCTAGATATCCCTAGATGTCCAAAGTTCCAGTTCCTGGATTCATGTTGGGTCCCATTGGGGGGAAAATTATCTTCGAGTATTAGGTGTCATTGATTTAAGCGACGGAAACTTCCGGGGTGAATGCCTTGAACCGTTCACAAACTGGCGATGACCCTCTGGTAAACATACAAAAAACAACGGAAAATCACCGTTTTGAATGGGCAGTTATCAACTATTTCTATGGCCATTTTCAATAGCAAACTGTTATATAGTTTACCAGAGGGTATATTGTATTTTTATGTATTTTTTCAGTATTGTTCTACTTTCGTACAGTGTCTGAATTCTGCCGATGACTTGGTGGTTTGTCACGTGATGGATGGTAACCTGGGAAAGCCGTTGCACCAGCTATCGCACTTGTGATTGCGGAACTGGCATTTTTTTTAAGGTTTAAAAAAAATGAACATGGGTCCGGTATTTATGGTCTGGTCGGAACATGCAGCTTGAAAGTCAACGGTTTCTTTGATTTTCTTTGCCTTATCATCTTATATTCAGCAAATCCACGCAAATCTCAGCAACTGAACATGACTAAACAATACTAAACAGAACTAACCCATCTCGCTCCCATCTCTCCACCAGGTTCTACCAGGTTGCCGGAATATCCACTGAGGCAGTAGGCCCAGCAGTCGGCTCCAATGGTCTTGTTATCGCAGGTGCTTCCCACGCCCGTTTCAAAGGTTGGATCTGCACAGGTTGCAGCCTCGATGGTGGGCAGGTCCTGTAGGAAACGCTCTGGAAAGACATGTGGGACTTATGCACTTTAGGAGCTCTCAATGAGATGTCAATGATGTAAAATTGATGTAAAGTCAATGTTTCTTTCATGGTTTACACATGTTTACAAGGATCCAGCATGGAAAAGCAAACCATTTAAACAACATGGTTGGCTAATTTGCAACATTCTGTCAGTAGAGCCCAGGTGTGGGCATTTGGTCTAAATTGAAGCGCGTTGTCGAATCGCTGGCAATGTGGGGCAATTGCTATAGGCTCGCTTTTGCCAATCACCTGGACTCTCTGGGCACGGCATCCTTTGACCATCTTTGAATCTTTGACCTGCGTGTGTTGCACTCATCTTTGAAATTAAAAATATGAAAATTACATAGGCCGGGTTTGGAGTCCGTTGCCACGTATTTGTATAAACCACTACTAGTCTCTCCCTCGTCTACTATAGCGATCATATGTTTCAGTAAATGTCTTCCCACTGTCCCTTCTCTCGCTTGACAGTCCTGTGTGAAGGAACCATCGGCCTGCCAGCAAGGTAGCACCCCACCAGCATCTATCAGTTCAAACCGATGTCACCTAGCCCAAGTGATGGTATATAATCAAGTTGGTGGCCGTGCTCTGTTCTTTTGAAGCCAAGTCCAACGGCGCCACCCAAAGGCAACCCTCGCAACACTGTGGGCCAACTATGTCTCCAATAAAAGTCGAGTTTAAGACTATATTCCATTAAATTCCATTGTATTCCTGCAAGATCCTATAAGATTATAGATCATCAAACATGAGTTTGATCACCTTTTTCTAATTTTAAAGGCCTGATTTGTCGGAACCTTAGGGGCGGCCGCGCCTGACAGGTCAAGGTACTGGGTCCTGTGAGAATGAAGCCAAGCTCCGCACCTCAGTGATGACACTTGCCGCGTGTTGCAGCCAGCGTCTGATAATTCAAGAGTTTGCAATGGAAAATCGCCATCTGTAGGTCATCATCCATAAAACCGGCCAAAATTCTATGTTTCATATATATATATACACATCACATCCATTAACCGGCCCTTGACAGGTAATTTTCATAGCAAACTGTGAAATGACCGGGGGAATCGGTTACGAATGGGCCTTGGATGATTCGCGCACACTGCCACAACTATTGGTAAACATCGCCTTCACCCATAAATGGGGGGCTTGCTGACTATGAATGATTGCCTTTCGGCTGCCATCCGCCAACCTTTCCACAAAGTTTACCTAGCAGTAATCAGCAGTAATTTTATGTAGTTATTGGTCTCCAATGATCTTCGAAATAATGTATGTTTCCAATCTTTGGAACGGGACTTTGAGCAATCGCCCAAAAACCAACAAGCGTTGGAATAGAAGTTGAGGAGCTCCCCCTGCCAGTGGATGCTCCCAAATGGGTGATTTACTTTTCCTAAACCGCTGAGCCATTGCCCAAGATAGACTGCAACTGGATAGAGAACCCAGCGCCAACAAAATCGCTCCCACTTGCCACTTGCTAGATGTCTCGCAGTCTCGCAGTACAACTTCTATATCGTCCAAAGTAGTACTAAGTGAATCTACGTAAGTTCTGCGATGTTTCCCTTCAAGTGTGTTGGGTACCCTTTCAGACTCCAACGTTTGCATTATTCATACCACCCGGCAGGTATCACTGCCATCACTAAAGGATTCCTGTTAGGTTCATCGAAACGTAGCCTCGGTGCGATGCTGAAAGTCGTATATTTATATGTAATTATATGTATATTTATGATTGTCATGTGCAAGTGGGCCATCCCAAAACTCACCGGCATTGACAAAGGGCACAAATGCATACGCCCGGAGAGATGTGATGTGGCGTACCCGATCACAAAATGAGGAATCAAAAACATAACCATACATGAAAGGCATTGTTGGGCTATCATGCACTTAGCCTATATGATCCTAGATGTATTTGTCTATATATACATATATACAGTAATATGCGTGTATAGGTGTATATGTGTACAGGTATTCAAGATATTCCAACCTACCCCGTTCTTCTGACCATAGTCACCCCATGGGGACATCCAGTGAAAGGCGCTGATAGTGCAGGTCTCACCGGTCACTTTGCCTTCGCAGTCATGCGTGGCACCCCGAAGATTTGGGACCTCATAGCGGTGCCGCTTGGACCCCCAGGGATCCAAAGGTAGCTTTGTGGCGATCCACAGTCCTGAACTGTGACAGCAACATGACATAACATGACTAGCCTCAACATTGGTCGGATTTTCCAAGCGTCCTGCTGATGCTCATTCCTTCTGACCAAAGTCTTGTCAAGTCTCCTCATGATTATATAGCTGTTTTTGCCAGTTGTACCAGCTCGCCCTCTCTCTCTCTTTGTCTCACTCTGTCGCACTCTCTCTCTCTCTCTCTCCCCCTTCCCACATTGCTCTCTCAGAGTTCAGCCAATGACTGAAGGCCATAAGCCATAGACGGAGCTTTCTACATCCTACGTATGTTGTTTTCCAGCTTGCGTGGGTAACCCCAAAAAATAGATTATATAACTTGCCACCACTTTTGTGTGATTTGACCTTTCCATTTTTTTGGGGGGGTTGCTATACCCCATTCCCATTGGTTTCCTCTTTTGGCCACGGCGACTGAGAGGCCCCACCCCTGCCGTGCAAGGCTTGGCTGTACAACTGGGGCCACTCGAGTTCACCGCAGCCAACTGACTTCCTCCTGGGCTGACTGTAGATGGAAGGTATCCTGGACCACCTTGCATGGTTGAAACCCTACAAATAATGGGTTAAACCATGTTAAACCTATCAACTGGTGCAGGATTTCTTCCATCAATAGTATCATGTGAATATGATGGGAGTATCATGAAAAAGTTGTTTTACAATTTGTTGGGATACGAAATGCGATATGATGAATTAGCAAGAATATGATGTTTGGTTTGGTAAAACACGGATGGTATACCCATGCTAGAATTCTGAAAATGGGCATGCAACCATCAAATTTCGGGAATAGATGATACGTTCCCTTTTTCCCGGAATGGTAGATGCTCCAAACTTGCACATTCATCCTATATCAATGTGGATAATGGCCCCGCGCATATTGAGACAAATACCGGCAATCCATGACAATCCCAAATAAGGCAAGTTGTTTGTTGCACCACATTTTGTGTGAGGTTCCTGGACAAAATTAAGGGACCTTTTTGGGGGTCGTTGAGAATACAGTTCCTTCAAACCTGTCCACTGTTACTGCTAGGCCCCTGGATTGGGCTTCCATCATGTCAGCCAGCTGGGGCTAGGACTGTCCAGGTGACTATGTCAACATAAAAGGTTGATATTCATGGCCCCTAGTAAAGCCAATCTTTCCCCTTGCTTGGGCAGTACTATAGAATAGGTTACCATCAGGTTATTTAACATAGCCATGGTATAGATGGCCCATAGAAATAGATGGTTTACCTATTAAAAATGATGGATCTTTCCATGGCTATGTTAGTCATAACCAGAGGGTAGGTGGTTTTGCACTGATTTCGCCCCTGGAAGGCCCATGATGCCCATGGCCTTCCAATACTTCGACAAAGCCAGCGCTGGAAGTTCCAGCCTCAGATGCGCTGGGGTCAAGCTATCCCAGCCACCTCGGAGCACCACCAGGTCCAATTCAACCCTTTCCAGTACAGTATAATCTACAATTACCCCTCTAAATGAACATTAACTTTTGAGATCTTTTTAGGCCATGATATCCAAATGCCCACTATAGATTTCCTATGAATTCCTAACGGCTGGTAGGATACTACTACAATACAACGTGGCTGTACAGTAACCACGAATCAGTTGCTGTAAGTGATACTTGAAGCAACTCCATCCGCCAGGGAACGTCCGCACACTGCATGAGACTCACATTGCCATCCAGCTGATATCCCTGCTGGCAGAAGGCAAAGCAGCCCTGGCAGCAGGGTGCAGTGGCCCTTAAAACATGCCCCGATGAAATGCTAAAAGACTGCAGCATACAAATACAAATGTCGCACCATCTAGATAAATATATTATACTGATCATAGTGCCATATCGCAAAATAGTAATGTCAATCATGATGGAGTATATCAACATATGCATGCATATTCCTTATTGTATGTAGGCGCGAGGCAATCTACAGTAAACATATTTGAAGTAAACACAGACTGTAGGCTATACACATTTAAGGACTGCAAATGCTGACAGTGCATCTCGTTCCATCTTGTTCCAATTCTATATTCGATCTCAAAATACCCAGAACTTGCTTCAGCGAGGACATCTTAAGTTCTTCGAGTTTGCAACCATAGATAGCTATATAGTCTATAGTCAGTTGGCGTCTGTTGGTAATAGCATGAGTTTTGAGATGTGTCCAGTTCCGCGCCTGCCCAAAGACCAGGTTGCTGCATGAATCACCCACCTCAGCAGCCATCTTACGATGGGATATAAGGAGATACGTTTGTGGATGGGACTTTTCCAGACTTTTCCCAGTTTGGTGTACCTGAGTGTACCTGTGGCTTTGTGAAAACCACACAGATACCCTCTGGTAATTTAACATAGCTATTGAAAATGGCCATTTATAGTGAGTTTTCCCATTAAAAATGGTGATTTTCCATTGTTATGTTAGTTTACCAGAGGGTATATACAGATACCCCAAAATCTGGTGGTTTGATCATCACTTGCCGATGGGTTTCCCATCGGGGGATGGGATTCATTAGGATACATCACACATTTCGCAAATCCATTTGAAACACATGAAAATCTCTTTACTATGGACTATATATATATACACATAGATATATATATATACATATTATATATATATATTATATATATATATATTATATATATATATATACACTAGAACATACTAAAATATACTAAAATCCCATCCATCCCATCCATCCTTTATACCTTAATCTTTAGCTTAGCTATATTTAATCTATATTAGCTATATGAATAGTCAAAATTCCCCAATACTTAGATGGGTGATCCCCTGGGTCTTAAATGGCTTGACCGGCTTGACCTGCCGCGCCACGCCAGCACTGGCGAAGACGGACAAAGTGGAGAGGTTGCCGCACTTCGCCGGCTCCTTGGACGGCTGAACAGGTTGCCCTTCAAAAGATGAGATGCCACTGATGCCAAAAGTGCAAAAGTCTTTGTTTGGCAGAAATATGATATATGGTAATTCTAATATATAGATATATGTATATACATGTATATATATATATATATTTATATTTATAACTATACTATGAATCCCAAAGATTTTGACATCTGAGTGAAATACAGATCATCCCATGGAACCCCCGGTTTCCCGCGTAAATTCCCAATTGATTTGCCATGGTGGAAATACCAGGAAAAAACACCCATATGTTGATCATTCTGTTGGGATGGAATCTCTATGAATCTCTGCCCCATACCAGTCATATGTATTCTATATATATAATTGTATAATCAATGTATATAATATGATAATAGTAATATGATAATAGTGTCCAATTGGAAGCATGGTTTAGTATTGTGATTGGATGGGATTAAATATGATTAAATGATTCATTGGAACGACCAGTGCCACCCCTCCAACATGATGACCCTGCCACGAGTTGGGGCAGGTGGGGGTCGGAAGACAATTCTTTCCTTCAAACATTGGCTATTCCCAGGGTCTACCCTCTGGTAAACTAACATAGCTATTGAAAATGACCATTTATAGTGGATGTTCCCATTGAAAATGGTGATTTTCCATTGTTATGTTAGTTTACCAGAGTGTATATATATATATATATGATATGTTGGTTGAGGAATGGTAATATAATGATCCTATTCCCAGGGTCTATATATGAGATCTGTTGGCTGGGGGAATGGAAAAAAAAAATCCTGTTGCTTCATAATCATTCTTCATAAACCATTGGACAGGCTCCAACCACCACAGCTACGGATGGTGAATTGCCTATATATAGACCTTAAATGATGCTTGGATGACCATGTTATTATATGTGTGTGTGTTCATCCCTTTGGATTTACCTATCATCCTATCATTTACCTATCATTTACCTATGAATCCATGTAAATCCTATGGCTTGGAGCTGCCGAAGTCAGCCATTGGATCCATTTGTTCTTCCCAGGGACGCAGCTGGCGCTGCTGCTAGTGAAGGTGCCCGTCTCGGCTTGACATGTCAAGGTACCATCACCTGCCGTTCGAACGGTGGAGATCGTAGAGAAAAGACATAGGAATTGCTTGGGAACTCTATATATATAGGCAATGAAGAATATATCAAACATAGGCAATATCAATATATCTCAATAATTATTCATCTTGATGTGGGAATATTCAATATATACGTATATAATATATATATATATACAAGATCATGAAGAATATGTCTAAGTATAATGTGGGAGTAATGTGGGAACATCGATGTGATTATGATGAGATCAGAAGCATGGGTTGAAACCGACGATTTCAAATCATCTGACCATTATGAACATTAAGAATACCTCGCACTTTGTGCAGCCCAAAATAACTCGTTCTCCCGTCAACAAATGAGATGTGCCCAGGGCAGCATCCACATCCTTGCGACCAGCGGATGTCTGTCGCTGAGGGGACCCCACCCGGCCATGATCCTGTTTCGAGTGATGTCAATCTGATATTCTTGGTAGCCACGGCTAATCAGATTGTCAGTTCCTGAAATGACAATCCGGCAACCTCAAATGATTGTCAATTTTTGGGCGCTCAAATTCATCCAACCCGGGTTTCTTAGTCTTTTTGGGCTTCCAAAGTGAAACCACCAACTTGGACCTAGGCCTACGATGGCAGCTTTCAGAGCCCCCATCGGCCCCCATCGGCGCCTACGAGCTCATAGCCCTGCACGCATTGCAGGTGGCAACTCTGACCCGACGTTGTGCCGCTGCATGGCGAGGGGTCTAAGGCTACGCCCAAAGCAAAGCCTGGCTGCATTAAAAAGGGCCCGCAGGGCCGCAGGGTCAGGATGATTGAATGGAAACCATTGAAACCATGGATGGATTGGTGGGAAATCTACAGGAAATCCGTCGGATTGTAAAAATGATTTAACATGAAATGTGAGGGTTTCCTGTCAAATGTCCCTGGAACCAATCCATTGAATTATATAATAAACCTCTATAGGCTGCTTAATAGGGGGGTACCATTCAAGCATTTATTTTTTGGGGGGTTCTCCTAGATGTGTATAAATCCGGGCTTGACATCACAGGATAGGTAGCAGCTGATTCCAACTCATTCTAAAACTATGTGTCTGGCTAATTGGGAATATTCCCACACCAATTTAAGAGCAATCGAACCTATATCCATTCTGGAAAGTTCCCCCCAATATTGTTTGAGGTCCCTATACGTTACCAAAGTGCGAAATCATATGCATTATAGTAAAACATGTTATATAAGTACTGGGCAGTAAACACCCATAACCAATAATAATGCCCACCTCCACCAACAGCTCCAAACAGCCCAAGGGGGTTCAATGGCGCCGAAATTTCCCCCAAGGGGACGATCCTTGATTCGGAGGTGTATTGAAATTAGGGCCACATTTTCTCACCAAATTAGTGATTTACTATTGGTGAAAACTCATGTGAGCATGTTCAACATCTGTCATTCCACTATATATACTGGTTGGTTAAGAATAAGGATTCCCCTATATATATATATATTGCAGCATTCTAATCGCCGATAATCATCAACAAAAAGGGGTTTTGAAAACTATTCATGTGAAAAGTGACCAACAACTATCTTGATAGTTCTTGGATGATTTCGGGGCGCCCAAAGACTTTCTTATAGATGGTCAACCCCCCACTCATTCCCAGTATGAAAAGGGTCCAACCATAGATGAGGATCTAAAATAGGTCCAGATCCGTTTCGAAGTGGCAAAAAAAACTTGTTGTACGGGCCTCATATCCCAACTCATGAAGGTTATTGCCATGGTTGTAACCATCAAATTCACCCCAACTGCAACCCCAAGTTGGAGCTTGGATAACTCTATCAATATATATATATATATCCATGATGAAATCATTGTCAAACTCTTTGCAACCGATCATATATGGTCATAGATGCTTGCTGTAATCTCCAACATGTTCATCAAAATAGTCAATGGATATAAATGGTTCATCCAAAACAAAATCTAGATGGTTGATGCCCAAAATTAATATACTTAATCAACATTATAGATATTAATTGATTACTTATAGATGGTTGATGATCTCCAAATGATATTTCTATGGTTATTATTGATCTACAAAATTGATATTTCTAGATGGTTGATGATGATCCTCCAATAATCATTGATGGTTGATGATGATCCTCTAAATAATCATATGGTTATATTATAATAATCTATAATCATATCATGTGGCTATTGATGGTTATCATGATAATAGATCATCCATAATAGATAATTAACCATCATATGGTAACAATTATGGATAGTTAGATCATCTATAATCCCTGCAATGATCTCCTGTGACCTGCCCCGTTATTGTTTGGTTCCTTCCGCCTTCAAAGGTGCATGGCTCGGGCGTGCAGCTGGGCGCGGCACCCAGCAGCGTTCCATCACTACAAAGGTGTTGAGAGGGAAGCCCGGCATAGCCTCACCATGGCCAGGTGGAAAAAAAACATAAAAAACCACCATGGCCAGGATTGGATATGGACCTTTAATTGTTAAGCTGGTAAACAACTGAAATCACCTGCTAAACCCCTTGTATAAAGTGCGCATACGTATGTATACATATATATAATGTGTGTGTGCATGTGTATGTCTTTCGTACGGGCAAATATGTATATATATAATGCATAATGATCATAATGAAGGATAATGAAGGATAGAACTGCATCGTCCTTTTTTCATCGGCGTCCTCATCATCCTCATCCTCATCATCATCCATCATCATCCATACTCCCCATTCAGAACATGCCTTCATCTATAATTATCATCTATTTTTTAGCTGGTTAGTATATGTTTACCATTGATAGCGCAAAAAAACTCAAGTATCTAACCAGTCGGTTGGCCCAGTATCATCATCTCCCCAAAAGTCCTCAAATTCCACCGGTCGCAGGCCAGCGGCCCACCATACACTCGCTCAAGCAGGTCTGACCGTGAAAGAGGCCGTAGCAGGACGAAGCATTGAAGGAAGAATTGCCCTCCAAATAGCTGGGCACTGAACAGCCTCAGCTGGAACATTGAACTGACACGTGGCTGGGGAAGGTCTTGGTGCCATTGAATATCTATAAATCCTCGGAACATCTGAGTTGCTTCTGATACTCAGTATATTTGAAATGTGTGTTAAGCATCCTGCAGTCTTGGTGCACCAAAAAATGGGGCCTGTAATGTGCACCTTAAAGAGACAAATTTGATCCGGTTACCAACTATGCAGTGATGTTATGTTGCTTACAACCCAGATGGCACACGCCTATATCAAGGCAGAGTGAGTAGACAAATGTGATCAAATGTGTATATGCACATGTGTATCTGCACAATAAATGCATGCAGATTTAACACATCATCAAACACAAGACAGCAGCGTAATATTATGTGTATATATATATATACATATTACAGTATCATATAAATATAGCATTACATAATATCATACAGGATACACAAACCATATCCTGGAACAACACTCTGGCCTCTCATGTAAACTGACCAAAGCAAAAGCATGTTTCCTGATAAGGGGGGCCATTGATTGGCCACAGACTTTCTCTTGGAGCCCATTTGACTGACTTGCGCAACCAAACAATACCGTCCTCCTCCATATAACCATGAAAAGGAGATGCTGATGTTTACACTCTGGACCCCAAAAAACTCACAATCTGAATGATCTGGATATGGCACAACATATATATATATATATATATATTATACATATATATATATACCTGTATATAATGTTTACTGCTACCCGGCAAGAAATGTGTAAATCCCAACAACGATCAAGATCTGGTGATCCCAAATGTCCATAGATTTCCCCATCTTTTGGTCAAGCCAAGTGGCTCTTAGGACTGCAACTGGGAGCGCTTCCGTTGAAGATGCCGTAGAGGTCGCACACATAGCTGGATGGAGCGCCCTGGAAACCCATGGGGACCACTCAGGATCCCCCATGAGAAACCCCCAGATCTTCGTGAAAAGACTCATCTTCCCTTGTCAATGGGCATAATTCGGAGAAATATCAGAAAAATCGCATCCAGCATTGATCATTCCCATAGGATCCATGTATGGTATATATGCTAACATTTGGGGTATATTGATGGTAAATGTTACCATATATAGCATACATGGATCCTATGGGAATGATCATCACAAAAATGGCCTCCACTCCCCAGTGCCTCATATCCAACATCGCAGGTGACGCTGCAGTTGCTGCCTTGGCAGTTCCACCACGTTCCACGGAACTTGTGGAAGCGTCGCGGCGTCGCATGGTGCGGCAAGGTGGAAATAGATAGATAGATAGATAGATAGATAGATAGATAGATAGATAGATAGATAGATAGATAGATAGATAGATAGATAGACTGATAGATATATATATATATTATCTATAATGATGCCCTTGTCATTGAGGTGGTTTAAAGTAAAACCTCAAGGAAAACATGTTTTTCATCGTGTTTTCCATGAAATTTTGGAGTTTTGTGGAACTCTAGTCATCCAATGTGACAGCATGAAACTCATAATTCAATCAGAACAAGGTCAGGAAAGTTGCATCTGCGCTAGATTCCGCCCTGAAACAAAGTAAAACAGCAAAGCACCCGCGTTCATGTCGTGCCACCCAAATAGAGAATATAGTTACCCTCTGGTAAACTAACATAACTATGGAAAATCACCATTTTCAATGGGAAAATCCACTATAAATGGTCATTTTCAATAGCTATGTTAAATTACCAGAGGGTACGACATGTTACGACAAATGGTTGAGACTTGTCAAGTTTCCAGAGATTCCACCAGAGAATCTCTGCAAAAGCAATCTGTAGCAACTCCGGTACCAGTTCCGATGATCATGGATTCAACATGATTCAACTTTGGCTCCCAAATCAAGCATGAAATTTGGCTAGTATGCGCACACGGGGGACATCAAGCAACCGTATCTTTGGTCTTGATTCCAATTCAGAAGCATTTTGAAACCCTGATGGTGTCTTGGGGCGTCAGTGATGCTTCTGGACAGCATTAGTATGACTGTATAGCTGTGCTGTTCCCCGCATCACGCTACCAAGGTACCCGCAAAGAGGTTTAAGCAACCACTGATGTCCACACCGGGCAGCACCGGCAAATTGCCTCAGTTGCACAGTCAGCATTCGGTCATGCAAGAATCTTGGATGCCCCATGAAGCCCGTGCATAACAAAACAAATTTAGTAGGACATCACATGTTCCTTTAACGAGGTAACAAAAAGAACTTGTTGGTGAACCGACTTACAAAAGGTCAAATGGATCGTTCACGATAATGATAATCCAACATACGTAACTTTGCACAACTATAGTGCATTCACAAACCTCGAAAATCATCAGTTACCCTCCAGTAAACCAACATAAATGCATATATTGGAAATCCATCATCTATACAGTAGATGTTTCTACCGTTAAAACCTCCATGTACTTCGGGAAACTCCCAGCTAGCCATGTTTGATTCCCAAAGGGCAATTCCAATTATTATCCCGTGATTGTCCCTATTGAACCATGTATATAGCAACCATAATAAACCATTAAGATGGCAATTTGTTTCCCATTTTATATAAACAGCTCTCACATTACTTATTTATTCGCATCATGCTTGAGTAATGGGAGAAAAAAACATATGAAATGAGCGATTATATCAACATTTACCCTCTGGTAATTTGAGATACCTGTAGCTATCGAAAGTAGCCCATTCACAAATGATATCCCATTTTATCACTAGTAAACAAGACAATATTTTCCATACAGCTGTGTTAAAACTAAGCGGAGGAAGTGCGATTATTTATTACGTTTATCCTCTGGTTATTTAACATAGCTGTGGAACATCGTCATCTTCAATAGTTAATTTAAATCATCATGTGAATCATCTATAAATGGCTCATTTTCCGTATGTTTGTTATGTTTGCCCAAATTTCCTAGGTAAATCACATGTTTTCCACTTAAATCATGTCAAATCCCCATGTTTTACATGTTTTACATGCAATTTCCCAAAAGATTTCGACCCAAGGTGCCAATCTCGCAGGCCAACAGCTCACAGGAAGGCTGGGCACCCGAGAAGGCACCAGTCTCGGTGCATTCCAAGAGCTCCTCCTGGGGATCCAAGCAGGGGAAAATCATCCGAAAACATTGGGAAAACATATGGGAAAATCATGGGAAAATAGTGGATCATCAATGATTTTCCCATAGATTTTCCCATCTGTTGAACTGTTTTGTTTTGTGATTTTCTCATGATGATGTGGTGATTTTCCAGATCGATGCTACATTGCTGGAGGGTTTTTTGGGGATTCTTTTGAAGGAACACATGTGGGAACCTGCTTGAATTAGCCAACATATATCCAAGCAAGAAAACATGGAAAGCATGGGCCATTGGTTTTTCCTCCAATTTTTCCTTTGAAGCCAGTTCTGGATGACATGTAAGAAAATGATTGTATACACCAAGTCAATTGCTATTCTAGTATGAGAAATGAATGGACATGATTCATGATAAATGCTGGCGGTACCTCATGTATCTAGAATGGGCAAACAGCCAGTAATGGTTTCCCCTACTGCAATTGATATGAAATACCCACACTTCACTATCAGGGAGGAGTGATCCTGGTTTTCACGTTAAGTGCTACTACAGCTGAATGTCCGTCCTCCCCATTGCTACCTAATCTGAATGATTCTGAGCAATGAAATGAAGGCCATATAGGCCATGAAACGGAGGTTTCATCCAAGATTTATCAACATGCTAGCATCAATATACTCAAAATATTTTGAACATATAGATTCCAACATAATGCATACAATATAATTATATATATATTGTGAACAAATGAATCCTTGTTCTGGATGTAGTTATCAATTGCGGTACCTGTTATGCTAGTATTGCCGGACACTGATGAGGCATGGCAAGCGCAGCTCGGACCCTTTTCCTCGCACACGGACTTGAGCCAGTACGGCGTCCAGATATACAATTAAGCATGTACATCACAAGTGTCCTAGTGTTCAGTTCCCTTTGACACCCCCCATGCCCGTGGTATTCTTCGAACCACGGACACGAGAGAGGGAACTTTGAATTAGATTGTTTCTGCTACTTGAATTACGCCTATGTACATAAAACGTGCCATTCGGCTCCCCCTTCCCCACATACCCGTCGGGAATAATGGTTCAGGGTTCGCCTACTCTCTGGCTGTCGATGCTTTGGCGCTTTATCAAACTGTACAACGCGAATTATTGCTAGCTAACATCTACTTTTCTACGTTGGCTAGGCATACCACTCACCCGTCGGGAGAAATGGATCGCTTCGCTACTAAAGATTTACAATGCTAACTAACGAATTCACGTGCACAGTGCGGAATTCGTGCAGATTGGGAATATCAAAAATCTTGAACCTAAGCGAATTATTCTACTGCCTCGCTCAGAGTCCACTCAGTTGATCCTTTCCTGATCATCTGTTCATAAAGACGATACACATCTCATATTCCAGTGATCATCTTGACGGATCGAAGTAATTGGTTTACTGCTCACGGCGGACTTTCTTCCATTGAGGTGCTGTTGGAGTTCTCTCCCATCCTGCCGCACGTTTCGGAGCAGCTTTCGGCGATGAAGGCTTTGCAGGCGGTGCCTTTGATGGTTCATGGGATTTCGGCATAGCCTTGCCCTTTGGTGCACTAGCCGATGAGGATGATGCTGAACCAGTGCCTTCAGGTGTCTGTGAAGGTTGCGCAGTTGGTTTAGCAAACTTGGAAGCTGCAGTATGTCCAACCGCTTTGAATACTTCACTCACCACTTCGTCGCCAAGGGTTGGAGCCATCTTCGTTTTCATCTCGGTCTTTCCCCTCTGCGCCTCGGCCTCGGCCAGCTGAATAGCATAAGCCATCTTGCTGACAAAGTTTTGAGGTAGAGGAATGCCACACTGTTGGGCTGCAAAGAGCAGTTCTACTCTCTGTTCTTTCTCCCTCAGGCTCAGATATACCGAGAAAGCTGGGAGTTCGATGCAGTTGGGGAAGCCGTGGCTCCCGGAGCGAAAGTAGGTGTATGACTCGTGCTCCGGAAAGGTTCCTTTGAGCAGTCGTCGAAGGAAATTGCTGATGGTTACTCGCATCTCCTGTTTCCCTTGGGCATCAGCCTGCATTCGGTTCATTGGCATGAGAAAGCCTAATGACTCAGGAGTGTACCCAGCGCGTACCAGAAATTCCATCATCTTCTCATAGATCTCTAAAGTCTTGATGACAGGCATCATCATGTTTCTTGGTCGCCCTGAGTATAACTTCTCTCCTTCTGACCATGAATTCCTCTTCCCTTTCTGCTGAAAGAGTTCATCCAATTCCAGCTCCGTCGGTCGCTTGAGGTTGCCATCCTGGTCTTCTCCTGTATAAGGACAGAAGTCGTCCAGGTCCAGCCGGACTCGCTTGGTTTCCGTCATCATCTCATAGTACTCCTCTGGGGTCAGAGTGACTCTCTGTTTGTAGTAGAGCCTGAACATTGTGATGACCTTTGACATGACAGCATTGTCATACAAGTGAGCCGCGGCCTCGGAGACATCATTGTTGATAAGTCCGTCTTCTGGCATACCCTTGCTGCCGCTCTCGAGGTTCTTGGTCCATGCTGGAAGTTTGGAAGAGGATTCATCTTCAGGTTCGACTTCCATTTCATCTTCGTCTTCTTCAACGATTTCGTCGTCTTCCTGTTGGGCTTCCTCCTCCTGATCCATTTCTTCATCATCGCCTTCGTTGTAGTCGACCTCGTCGGGATTGAAGCCATAGTCGTTGGATTCGGATACGTTTTCTTGTGCTTGATGGACCGTATCCTTGAACAACGATTCTTCTTGTCGACGAACTTCTTCATCGATCTCTTTCTTCGTGGCCTCGTCTTCATCGTCTTCAGGAGCTTGTAGCCGATAGGGACGGATTCCACAACTTTCCAGTTCCGTCCAGCAAACTAGACACACTGCTAGTTTTGTCGGCGTCTCATTGAGACAGTGAGGACAATGGCGGCAACCTGATGTTTGCACCCTTTTGCGTTCGACTATGTAGTCAATCAGCTTGATGCGGGCCAGGTATTGTTCTTGTCCGCCAGGCTTGATGAGGTCGTTCTTGAATTGGTTGACGATGTTCATGGCATCCATGGCGGTTTCGTCAAACGGTTGATCTTCGGCGTCGATGCATTGACTTGCAACCCTCAAGATGGACTCCTTGGTGGCTACCGTTCTTGATTTGACAGTTCCAGACCGGACTACCTGGTCGTCGCCCGACGGGACGAACAACCGGAGCCATGTCTTATTGTTTTGGTCCTTTGGGTCCTGAATCCATCCTCCTTTGATTGCCGAGAACGGGATGATCTTTGGTGAGACGATCTGTCCCGAGTCAGTCAGTCGACCGCCATATTCCACCATCAAGGTCTCGGTCGGGATGAACAAGCAAATGTAGTCCCCCTTTCGCGTATCAACGCTCTTCGTGATAGTCCATGATCTGTGATCCCATGGCACATACGGGTTGAAGAACGTGAACATCCGATGACCTTCTCCAAGACCTCCTGGAATTAATCCCTGCCTCCAAATGCTTCGAAGGTTGGTCTTCTTGGTGATGTGGAAACAAACCGGTAACGACAAAATGGTGTTGGGCGCGATTGGATGTGAAAGTAATGAGGACAGCAATGAGACGTCGTCCCTTGAAGATCCTTCCTTGTGCCCCGTAGGAGCACGGACCGCCACAGGGTAGAGCAGTAGACCTTCATCAGGAATGTTCGTGTTCGCATCGACTTTGTTGTCAATGCACGTCAGGCTGGTGCGCTCGATGTCCTTGTTGATACCAAATGCCAAGACTTGTTCACGAACACGACGTCCATACCGGGCACAGTGGAACATGATCTTGAAGAGCAACGTCATGCGGTAGTTTGCCTCATCGACATTCCATGCACTCTGATCATTTGCTCTTCCTTTTGGAGCAAGGAATACATGTGGCCAGCGTGCGTACTCGTGCCTCCAGATAGACTCGCATTTGAGCACCTCCTCTATGGGCACCCAGCCGGCGTCATCACATGACAGACTCTGTTGTTCTGATACCTTCCCCACGTTGTGCCGCAGGATCCTGTTTAGTGATGTACTCACCTTGTCCTCGTAGGTATTGAGTCGGTTGCCAGTCTCGAATCGGTAGTTGGCCGCATATTCTACACCGCCAAAGTAAGAGCAGTTGAAGAAATGGGCCCCCGTGGTCGGGATGATTTTCAAGAAACCATCTTGCGGCGCCTCGACTCTCTTGTAGAAGGGCTTCCTGATGTTGTTATCAGAGTAGCTTGCCATAAAGTCTGGCACTGACCAAGAGTCACCTCCTCCTCTGACAATAGCGTCTCTGACCACTTCGTTGAGGTCAACAATGTTCTGTGGTCCTAGCTTTGTAACATCACGTCCTTCTATGCAGAATCTGCCATACCCTATAGATCAGGTTAGGCTATTAAGAGCAAAATATCTTATAGGTTATCTGTAGTCTATTTTCTATCTAATAGTCAGGATGCAAATAGGATATGCATAACCTAACCTCTGGGAAATAGGATAACCTATTGTCTAACCTATTGTCTAATTCCTAGCAAATAGGATAACCTATTCTCCAGCAGTTTGGAGGAAACTGCTGTCAAACTGCTGTTCATCAGTTTCAAGGCTTGTTGTTTTCATTGGAAATTATTGGAGATTGTTGATGATTATTGGTGATTATTGGTGACAGCCTGAGTGCTTTTCAAGGATGCTGGCCAATGTTTTTTTTCATTGGTGGACAGTTGCTGCTCTTGTGGGGATGTGGTTGACTCAAGTGGCCTGTTTGTTATTTTGGCTCAATGCTCTTGCATGTTCATGTCTTAACAGAACAAAGGGCTGGTGGTGGTATACATCAAAGATGTCCACCACCAACAGCTCTCTTTTCCAGCCTTGGGCAATGGAAAGGTCTTGAAGGCAACAGCTAAAGTACTGCCCAGTGCTCTTTCCCCTTGCCATACAGAAGGTTTGTGGTGGTGGACATGTTTAACGTTCACCACATTTTTCTGTTTCATAGCCATGTTGCAAGTCCCAGAAGCTTGGCTATTGGAGAAATATTCTATTGGAGAGAAGATTCTATTGG